CCCCCCCCCCTATATGTGGAATGAAAAGCTGGTGGAAATTCCGGCAAAATTGTTTTCGCCAGTAATAATCCCTAGATCAGATCATTTTGTTTCAAGCTCTAAATTACTTCACTTATATGTGTGTGATGGGTCAGTTTAAATCCCGGCTTCGAATCGCTCAAGCATGTATATGACGGTGTACATTTTTGAATCTAATATACTGTGAATTCGAACTGAGAAGAAATATTTCTTTTATTTTTTATTTAAATGATAATCTGCTGTGGTCAACTTACTAGATTATCACTTAGAGTTAGATTTTATGTAGGATTTGTCTCCCTTCGACTGCTACCATCTTATACAGTAGTATGTGTGCAGATCAAAAATCCTCAGATCAATGCATTTTTAAAAATTCAATGGCTTTAAAATATATTTTCTTAACAAGCATATCTGGTGACTTGTAATTCTGAGTGATTTTGTTCAACGATTTAAAATGTTCATGCATCTTCCTTCAAATGTTTACTTTTTGGACAACACTAACAAATGAACGTAACACAGGTGACTGTACCTGTAAAATAATGTTATTTTCTGTCATATCAAATAATAATCAAGCATCAAACAAGTGTTGCTCTCAAAAACCACCAGATGGCACCACAGAGCTGTGGAGCTCTAGATATCAAATAGTTTCAAGGTGTATGTGTGTGGGTCGGGGGAGGAAAGATTGGGTGATACATTTTGCATGCACATCGTTTACAGTCCAACACGTCACATTATTGCTGTGGCGCCTGCTTTTATAACTTCATTTATATATAGCATGCGACATGTTCCTATGAGACTTGTTCGGCTGATATCACAGCGTCCACGCTTGGCTTTTCATGTAACAGTATCAAAGTCACGTGACGGACGATACGAGTTCACTGGTCAGAAAACGGTTATGGGATATTGCATATCTGTATCTCTGAGTAATGTTTTGATTAAGAATAAAAGCGATGAATCTTGTGGCTGTGTAACAGTAAAACAATCCGCCTGTGATCTCAGAGTAGCACTTAAAAGTGCAGGTACCGTTGCCTACGATCGACGGGTAAGGTGTTCTTAAACCTGAATCGTTAAAATAGTTAAGCCGTGTGCCTTCAGTTCTGTCAGGATGAAATCTATGGTACCGAGAAGATATGTATACCAGAGCAAAATGCCTGGATTTCGAAGGTCTTCCAAACAATACTATCTGTAAAAATGGTATTTAGTTTTACATTATTTCCATTTATCATATGACTTTGAGGATATTATTCCGGTTTCTTGACGATTAAAGTTATATTTCACGAGGGGTGTGAGCATTTGATATTTAATCTGACAATGTTTTTGGACGACACAGTAAGAAAACGTCAGGGCGTCAGTGACGTCACAAAGAGTATTATTTTTTCTTTTATGTAATATTACCAATTGCAACGGTGTAAATACATAGAAGACATATTTGGACTCTTTGATCTACTCATTAAAGAAACCATGCTTTCTGAGTGGTTGAAAAATAGTTAGTTGTCGTAGTACAACAAAATATCAACTTTATTTTCGCTGCAGTAATAGGCAACATATACACATGGCGTCATCGCGATTGTGACGTCACATTGACTATAAAATACATGACAACGATGATGAGTTTTACTTATATCGTTATCGTATACCGGGTAGCGAGTGTGTATATGTACTGATAGTTCAACATAAAATTATTTCTGACTGATAAGATATGTGGTGCAGAATTCGTAAGCATTCCGTCATTTTAGCTACCTCGCGTATTACAAACACCTCTTCCTTACAATGTGCCATTCAACAGTAGGCAGACGAGCATCACCCCACTGAATAATTAATTAGAAAACACTTTTTGCTCGCATTGACAGTCGTTATAGAATATTCCCCCGGGGAACGAAACATTGGATATGACATCTCCTCACAGCGCCACTGTCACCGCAATGCGTGCAGCAGCCTCGGCGATCCATATATGGAGTTCATCACGTGAAAGCTTTTTGTGAACAAATAAATCATGTTTGATCGTATAAATTAAAATGCTAGTCAAATATTACAATTAATCAGTGTGTATGTATGTGTGAGCAAGGCCAACACATTGCTGTCGCGTATGTTAAGCACGTACACCCGCGTGTGTTCAGTAACACAGGTGCTTGTATGGATGAAACAGCTGTTCTAAATAGGACACGTCATGTCACGGCTACTTCTTTTCATATACTTGGCTATATAATGTTGTCAGCACATGTGACGTCATATTTTAAGCAAACATAAATATATTTCATTTTAACGACAGGAGCCTGTGTTCATAAACATTCAATCGAGAGATCCGCGGTAGGAAATCAGCCGTATCTCAATGTCGACGTCTATAATAATCATTTGATATTCAACGTGAAAAAAAAATGAAAATGTGGATTACAAATTTGATATTCAAAATGCATTAATTGATTGAGTAGGATTGTGTGTAGCATTCCTTAATTTCCCACACACGTACTATCTATAGAGTATATGGTGTAGTTTCCTGTCAGTTCCCGTATACAGACAAACCCGTAGGCAGACGTAATGTGTGTTGGTGTGAACACCGTGGAGAGAAATGACGTTTCAGCATTCCACCAATCGGCTTCGTCCTACACCCTACCAGCTAACACTGTCGTGTCTGTAGGATTGGGAATATACGAACGCTGAGGTAAGACCAACTATATTTTACTTATTTTTTTCCAGGCGATTTGCATGAATAATTAACATTTGTAATTATGAAACACAAATCTTACTATAGATTAAATACGAAATCAGTATCTTATTTGCATTTCAAAGCTGAGACCTTTATGTTATTTTGTTTCCTGATCAGCCAAATGTACCTGTTTATTTTGATAATGGAATGCTCAGGTCTAAACTCGTTAAATAATGGCCGAATGGGTTACACCCAAAATTTCTGATTTTATACACATTTTACCTTCCGACAAGTCAAATCTTGCTGTAAAATAAATTGAAGTAATTTAAACGTGAGGCATCCGTTATCTAAAATCATTCTCCGTGAACTACTTATATTTCTCTGAATGAAGGAAATTTGGAAAGTGTTTACTGGAAACTAATCAATTTTCCGCTGGTGTTTTGATGAAATGTGAATTGATTGTTCAAAGTCTGAAGTGGCCATATTGTCCTGTTAATCTGATAAGATATTAATGTGTATTGGTTGCCCCTCCCCCGGGCTCTATATCTGGTCGGTTCCAGGTGAATGGGGACGTTGGATCGGTATAATGTACCCCTAGGTACGTGATCCACAACCGTCCATCGATCACAGCTGGACAACACGGTAAACATACACGGGCTTCATAGAAATACCGGTCATGTTTTAAACTCAGAATTATTGCTGCAGATGCTGACATTGTAACGCCCCCCCCCCCCCCCCCCCCCCGACATTTTGATGGAATTAACAGGAAGTGTCACACATACATTTACTGTACATAATCATATTTTTTCACAATATCAAAATATAATTCTGCACTTCACTTTATTTTTCATTCATCAAAAGAAAAGAACGGTCGTATAGTATTCATGTATTCACAATGTAAATTGAGTAATCTATAAGGTCGATTTTTACGCCAAAATTGTATTTATACCGTGTAACATTTACTGAAATAGATTTAAAGTACTTATCATACACACGTGTATATTATTGTATATGAGACACATTTCATACCAGTAGTATTTCTAGTTATGCATGTTTATACAGGAAACTGATAAAGTGTGAGTAAGCTCGATATAGCTAAGTACCCCTCGGCCCTCCAAACACCAACCGGAAGATGAGAAAATATTGTCAATATGTATACAAATATGTACAAACTACTACCAGCATTTCGATATGCAATAATGTCACTTGGTAAGAAAAACTATACAATATCAGTAGCAGAAACCTAACAGAATGGGTTGTCAATAAATGTATGCATTACGAGATTTATAACAGGTAAACTACACTGTTGGTCTAGTATAGTAAATATTGGATTTATATGACTAACATTACACACATATGATAACGTTGTACACCACTTATGAACTGTTAGTCAAGCCCCTGGGCCTACTTTGTAGCTTTGTGTACATACATATGAAATTATCATCTCTAAATGTATCTACATGTACATGCGCTGTGTGTATATACAGGTCTGTATAATCCCTGGGGGATGTAGAGATGGAGATGGGTTGTATTTCTGATCAGGTCTAATCTGTGAATGTTATCCTCATCAAAGTTGGAAATAGACTTTTAATCTGTACGGGAGCACGGCAGGTGCCTCTAACCCCCTCCCTCAGTGGTAGGTACAAACCCAGCACCTTATCTCACACCACCGACTTTATCAATCAACTTCTACACATTTCAATGCTCCACCTCACTTCAGACCTCTAAAGCACTACGTTCAAATTCCTCGGAACTCGCCTCGGAAATCAGACATTGAAATATTTCCTGTGTGTGTATCCTACAGCATATAATGCATTATATCTATGATGGCATCTCGAAACTCGCGGGTTTTAATATTGGATTAAGGATGTATGCTACCTTATATTTACCTCATTTGCAGAAGAGTTCCACAGTATATTTGGGCTTATTGGATTAGTTGATGATATATTTGAGAGGTTCACAATTATGCAAACATGACACAAATACAGAAAGAAGTATGCTTTATAAATATAAGAGAATGCATTTCCTTTAATGTTACTTGAATTGAGACAATTATAGAGCAAATTATAAATCGCCATGTGTAAGGTAGAATGTATATATTAAGACCTTATCAATCTTATAAAATGGTTGCATTAATGGTTGTATTAACGTAACAAATATAACCGATAGGGCGATGGAATTCCAGTGCCGAAGGTGTTTTGTTTTTGTCGTTGTTTTATAAGTAAATTCGGAGACGTATATAACATATTATACGTCTCTGGTAGATTATAATAAAGTTACTTAAGAATAACTATTCGATATAGAAAACGTGCAAGCAATTCCAAGAAAGAAAAGGAAAAGAAAAATTGACGAACACATTGGACTCCTTCTTCGTTGGTTATAACACAGAGCGCTGGGACTCTCGACCTGAATGCCTGATATTGACCACTCCGCTCTTTCACTTGTTTTCCGCGTTAAGATTTTCGAATCGAAAAGTACGACTGTGGTCAAATTAGATAGTCAGCTACATTTGTTTATGTTAATTAATATCATTCACTTTGAGGAACAATACATATGTGTGGGAAACAATTTTACAAGTATGCCGGTTGAAGTTGAACACATACGAATTGTACCTGTTGGCGTCAGATCTGTGAAATATTAGCCGGAAATTATCAGTTATCATTTATAAACATGAGATTACCAGTCACGTAGGCCTTTGTTTATGTTAAGTTATCGTAGGGAACCGTTAGAAATATCTTAACGCCAGACTTTTAATGTATAATTTCCCTACCCTGTGGCGTGTGGCTAGGTAATGGGTATACATAATGTGTACAAGGGAACTTAACAACATCAGTAAGATTGACCATGTCCAGATAAATCTTAGCCTAGTCCGTCTGACTCCGGGCTCCGACACGTAGTGTGTACGCCTACTGACCGTCTCCTTCAGGTATGGCTTTAAACATGTACAACCTCATTAACAGGTAGGTGTAACACCAACAAACATCACAGGTGATCGTTGTCTGTCAGAATAAACAAGACGGACAATGTTAACAGATTGGCAATGGTCTAAATACAAACACAGAATACAGACAAAAGGGTCAGGCATAAACATGGCACTGTATGGACACATTAAGATGCAATTGCCTACAGCCCTAGCTAGAACAAGCCAATAATCAAATAATTTCAACAAATACGACATGTTTATCTCGTAAGACCTGCCTAACTCCTGGCTCTTAGCCACCTGACTTATATCTCAACATGTGTGCATGCTTAGGTTTGTATTGGACGCGTATTGTCAGGTTCTGTTTCTTGTAGGGACTGTGCTTTCAATGTCATCTTTTTCCATATTGTCACCTCGTTTGAATGTTACAGCTCAGACAATGAAGCTCCCACTTCAGCCCATTTAGTGCTCCGGTCTGGGTTATTCGAGTTCAGCCCGTTTAGTACTCCAGTCTGGGTTATTGCTGTTCAGACCATTAAGTACTTCGGCCTGGGTTATTGGAGTTCAGACCATCTAGTACGCCGGTCTGGGTTATTGGAGTTCAGACCATTTAGTACTCCGGTCTCGGTTATTGGATTTCAGACCATTTATTACTCCGGCCTGGGTTATTGCTGTTCTGACCATTTAATACTTTGGCCTGGGTTAATGGAATTCAAACAATTTAGTTATCCGGTCTGGGTTATTGGAGATCAGACCATTTAGTGCTCCGGTCTGGGTTATTGCTGTTCAGTCCATTTAGTACTCCGGTCTGGGGTATTGGATTTCAGACCATTTATTACTCCGGCCTGGGTTATTGCTGTTCAGTCCATTTAGTACTCCGGTCTGGGTTAATGGAGTTCAGACAATTTAGTTCTCCGGTCTGGGTTATACCATCTAGTACGCCGGTCTGGGTTATTTGAGTTCAGACAATTTAGTTCTCCGGTCTGGGTTATTGGTGATCAGACCACTTAGTACTCCGGCCTGGGTGATTGGGGTTCCGACCATTTAGTACTCCGGTCTCGGTTATTGGATTTCAGACCATTTATTACTCCGGCCTGGGTTATTGCTGTTCAGACCATTTCGTATTTCGGCTTGGGTTATTGGAGTTCAGACCATTTAGTGCTCCGGTCTGGGTTATTGCAGATCAGACAATTTAGTTCTCCGGTCTGGGTTATACCATCTAGTACGCCGGTCTGGGTTATTGGAGATCAGACAATTTAGTTCTCCGGTCTGGGTTATTGGAGCTCAGACCATTCAGTACTCCGGCCTGGGTTATTGCTGTTCAGACCATTTAATACTTTGGCCTGGGTTAATGGAATTCAGACAATTTAGTTATCCGGTCTGGGTTATTGGAGTTCAGACAATTTAGTTCTCCGGTCTGGGTTATTGGAGTTCAGACCATTTAGTACTCCGGTCTGGGTTATTGGATTTCAGACCATTTAGTACTCCGGTCTGGGTTATTGGAGATCAGACAATTTAGTTCTCCGGTCTGGGTTATTGGAGTTCAGAAAATTTAGTTCTCCGGTCTGGGTTATTGGAGTTCAGACAATTTAGTACTCCGGTCTGGGTTAATGGAATTCAGACCATTTAGTACTCCGGCCTGGGTTATTGCTGTTCAGACCATTTAATAATCTGGTCTGGGTTATTAGAGTTCAGACTATTTTGTACTCCGGTCTGGGTTATTGGAGATCAGACCATTTAGTACTCCGGTCTGGGTTATTGCTGTTCAGACCATTTAGTTCTCCGGTCTGGGTTATTGATGTTCAGACCATTTAATACTTTGGTCTGGGTTAATGGAATTCAGACAATTTAGTACTCCGGTCTGGGTTATTGGAGTTCAGACCATTTAGTACTCCTGTCTGGGTTATTGCTGTTCAGTCCATTTAGTTCTCCGGTCTGGGTTATTGGTGTTCAGACAATTTAGTTCTCCGGTCTGGGTTATTGCTGTTTAGACTATTTAGTACTCCGGCCTGGGTTATTGCTGATAAAACCATTTAATAATCTGGTCTGGGTTATTAGAGTTCAGACCATTTAGTACTCCAGTCTGGCTTATTGGAGATCAGACCATTTAGTTCTCCGGTCTGGGTTATTGGATTTCAGACCATTTAGTACTCCTGTCTGGGTTATTGCTGTTCAGACCAATTAGTACTTCGGCCTGGGTTATTGGGGTTCAGACCATTTAGTACTTCGGCCTGGGTTATTGGAGTTAAGACCATTTAGTACTTTGCTGTTCAGACCATTAAGTACTTCGGCCTGGGTTATTGGGGTTCAGACCATTTAGTACTCCAGTCTGGGTTATTGGATATAAGAACATTTAGTACTCCGGTCTGGTTTATTGGATTTCAGCCCATTCAGTACTCCGGCCTGGGTTCTTGCTGTTCAGACCATTTAGTTCTCCAGTCTGGGTTATTGGATATAAGAACATTTAGTACTCCGGTCTGGTTTATTGGATTTCAGCCCATTCAGTACTCCGGCCTGGGTTCTTGCTGTTCAGACCATTTAGTACTCCGGTCTCGGTTATTGGAGATCAGCCCATTCAGTACTCCGGCCTGGGTTCTTGCTGTTCAGACCATTTAGTTCTCCAGTCTGGGTTATTGGAGATCGGACCATTTAGTACTCCGGTCTGGGTTATTGCTGTTCAGACCATTTAGTACTCCGGCCTGGATTATTGATGTTCAGACCATTTAATACTTTGGCCTGGGTTAATGGAATTCAGACCATTTAGTACTCCGGCCTGGGTTATTGCTGTTCAGACCATTTAATAATCTGGTCTGGGTTATTAGAGTTCAGACCATTTAGTACTTCGGCCTGGGTTATTGGAGTTCAGACCATTTAGTACTCCGGTCTGGGTTATTGGAGTTCAGACAATTTAGTTCTCCGGTCTGGGTTATTGGAGTTCAGACAATTTAGTTCTCCGGTCTGGGTTATTGGAGTTCAGACAATTTAGTACTCCGGTCTGGGTTATTGGAGTTCAGACAATTTAGTACTCCGGTCTGGGTTATTGCTTGTTATTGTGTGCTATGATATTCTCCCTCCCTAAGTACGCCCCACTATTATAAGTGTTTGCAGTTACAATAGCCCATATTGTAGGTTCATTCTCTACCATGAGTTGTCGTTATTCACATCCATATTGCAAGTAATTAACGACAACTCTGGTTCGAGATTTTGTGCTGCCTTACAATAGAAGGAATATCAAACAACATCGTCCATTATGTAGATACAAAACATTTATAATGTTTTGATTTTTGAATTAAAACACAATTGTTCTCCTTTGCAGATTACCTCTGTTACACAATGTCACAAGAACTGATTGATTTGGAGGAAATAGTGAAGAAATGGGTCGCAGATTTCCCTTTGGACGCTAAACAACGTAAAGAGGCTGATGACGTCATTTCGACAGACATAAACTGGAAACACTTGCGTGTACAACACGGGGACACGCAATATTTTGACCAAATAAAGGCAACGACGCCAAAGTCGCACGTGCTTTTCACAGCACATTTCACGAACGATACTGACCAAAACCAGGTGTACACTTTAAAAACAGAGAGAAAGACAAAGTCCACGTGCACGCTCTCCCTACAGAAAAGTTACACGTACGGTTTCAGTTTGGATATAAAACTGACCCCGCCCAATCCCGTCATAGAGGCAAACGCGGGGTTCAAGGGTGAGATGGGTCTGACCAAGACAAACGACGAGACTTTCGAGGAGGAACTCCTGTGGTCAGTCGACAATCAAATCACTGTCCCGCCAAAATTCAAAACCAAAGCCAACCTCGTTATCAAAGAAGACGAATACACAAGTCACTTTAAGACAGAGAGCAAGTTTGAAGGCAAAATTCACGTGACGTTACGTCATAAGAAAGACAACACACCAATCACCACCCTCACCACTGACGTCAAGAGGCTTTTTACGGGGGATAAAGGGTTCCGAGTGGACAAGTCTGGAATCTATTTCGTAACACAGGGGAGGTGTCGCTGTAGATTCGGTATAGAACAGCACGTGAAACTGTCGCAGACAAAGGTCGAGGACGTCGTAGAAGAAGGCGAAGATGAGGTTGATACGACGTCATGATGACGTCATTTGTGAATGATCGAAGATGTGAAGTGTATTTTCCGTCGGATTGAGTGCCCTAGTATGCATGTATGGACTATTGGTTGCTTAGTACAGCATTATCACATAACGGGAAATGCGTTGTGATCTGTGCTTCCTTGTAATCTGGAGAGAGAAAAAAATGGGAATTAAATTATTTTGTGAAATTCTTCAATGTTATCTGGCAATATTCCTCATCGATATGGAAATTTAGTGTGCTTGAATAATAGAGTTCATTTATTTGTCAATATTTGTGATACATTTGACCTCGTTGTTTCCAGTTTGTGACTGGCTCGTAATGTGAGTGTACTGGAGAGGTAAGCATTTAATTATGTGACGCTGATGACGTATATATTCCAAACAGGGTTTCCTACAATAGTATCAATACAGACCCGCTCATTCTGAGCTGTGGCGAGGTCAGTTACCATAGATCAATCACTGCATATTTAATCAACTAACGCTGTTAGTAATATTCTCACTTATGTGTGGTTCAATTCACAGGGACTTGCTTATTAAGATATCTTTTGTATTTTTAGTCTAGCATGTAACCGATATGTGCTGCTCAAACGTTCTAGAAGCTTGGGAGAGGGTCAAACAGGATAGGTTATCCAGCGGGTTAATTAAAATAAATCTTCAAATTGCGATTTAGATCCAAGAAGCATTCAAAGCAACTTGCATATCAGATACTGCCTTATAAGCAATTCCCTGTGTCTGTGGTGCGAAACGAAGGATTACTCTAAAGGTATGCAAAGCTGCGGGTAATATAGAGAGATCTGTCATGAAGCCGTTCACTGTGCGACCTTGTCTATAAGCCAGTAATTTACTCCGCCGTCCTATCATTATTTCCTGGCTGTTAATATTATCGATTTCCTCACCAGACGCCCTCCCCTGGGAAAACTGGATAAATGCCTCTCGTAAACTCTATCGCCCAATTACCTAGCTAACTAACAGGGATACATAATTGCACGTGCATAACTTATACACTGTGCATTGAATACTGTATTTCCTCAATAAGTAGTAAATATATAACGTCACATACAGTACTAGCGCTATAAGGGCGTATTTTGATGGTGACGTCATGACTAATCAGTGATAATTCCATATACAGAGTTACATTACTTCGGTTTAATATGAAAATTGTATAGAATAATAATCTTCACATAAAGGTATGGGCTAAAGAGTGATATTCTATTGAATTGGATAAAGGTTTTATTTCATTTAGAGACTTCAAAATTATGGTTCGGTCAACTTTTTGCTCGCAACATTTTAAGGCATGTGTATACGTATAGAGAAAGTGCCCTTTTTCGGTTTCTCCTACGGTCTGGTGTGCGTGAGGATGGATGGCGGGATGAATTTTTGAAAATTTTGAAAATATGTTAAAGTTAAGTTACGAGTAGTTTTTTGTTAAAGAAAATGCAGGAAGGAAGGTGTATTGTTTCTGAAACTCCGTATTCCTCACTAATATCATGCAACAGCAATTTTCCCATGCGTTTGTTTCGAGCATAGCATGCAAATGTAATAAAATAGTAATCAATTTTATCTGTTGTTCGCTTCAGTACACGTTTCTCATCTCAAAATTGTTCGTTGTGAAATATGAAGCACACAGTCTCCCCTGGTTATGCTCAACACATCGATCTTAACCCTTTACACAAATGTGCGGGAAAATGCACATATTTTGTCGAAATAGTCATCTTTTTTATGTACACGTCAGAAGCGTTGTACTCCAGTTTATCACCCCCAAGAGACCCGGGTTTCAATAGGCCGTGGTATCTGCTATATAGTTCCAGGTATCGACCTTCCAGTTTCAAAAAGGTCAAAGGTCATTGCCACGCGCTAACTAATGGTACACGCGGGACTCGTCGATAGACTTTATGAATATGATTAATATTTCTGTATAACCTCGCTGGAGTCTATGTTAGTGGTTACCGAGAATTCTCCCCAGTCACGTCAGGTCTTGTATGTAAATGAGGTCGGATTGTAGTTTGTTATTGTTTACACTTGGTGGTATATGGGTACACAGGTAATAGACACAACATATCCTATGCCTATATTCTAATATGTAATTAGTACTAATTACATATTAGAATATAGGCATAGGATATGTTGTGTCTATTACCTGTGTATGGGTACGTACACATTTTTGTTTACACGTTGGAGTGTATGCATGGCCTTGTACAACATTCAGCTATTGGAAACAAAACAAAAGTTTAAACTATTTTTTCTAATTTTGACTTTACTGACATGTTTTGAGCATTTCATTTGATACATGTAAAGGAACTATGTAATTTTAAACATGTAACAATACAATCATTGACCTATGATTTTATTACCGTACTTACTACAGTAAAACCTCAATATAATGCCACTTCCCTTACTGCCAACATATTTCAAAGTCCCCTTTTCCTTAAAAATCATTTGTGTGTCTTCTTTGATATTAATGTATCGCCAATCTCCTTTATAATGCTGAAGTTACATTTGGTGACAGATGTCCGTAAAACAAGGTTATAATATATTGCCAAACCCATAATGCAAAAATTCTGTTGGACCGACAGTGGCTGTATAGTGAGACTTTAATGTATTTTCATAATGTAAATAAAACTTTTGAATACTAGAGAACCAGTTTTGATACAATCAGAATGTGAACTTGGATGAATGTATATATGTACCCTGACATGACTTCTTGATCAGAATTATAATTCAAATACCACTGTCTTTGATGTAATAGAGGGATAAACTCTGGTGTAGGGACTATTGGTGGCAGTTTAACAAGGTTTACACATTTCAAGTTCCCATTTCCTCTGTATATTTTTCCATAAAGATTATTATTTTATCTCCCTTCAGATATCATTAAAATCCCATTAAATGCCAAAAATTAAAAATTCTCTGTGCAAATGGTAACAGTATAATGAGGTTTTACTTACTAAACACTGGGGCCGATATCATTAATTTAATATGGTATATGACATGTATGTAGTACCATCTATTAATGATACTTGTCCCTGTATGACCATGTGAATAGACACAAATTTGGTTAAACTAGAATAGGCAAAACACAAGACCCTGTGATCATGACTGAAAACAAAAGCAGAACACTGTTAAGGCACCCTGTTTACATATCCTTACATAAGCCCATGTATAAACAATTTATCAAGGTATTCAAATCTTAAAATTAATGACAGATCAATAAAAGTTAACTGATATGAGCATAACAAAGGGGCTTGAATTATTTATACGACTTAAATCCTGGACTTTAGCAAGGCTATATTACAGTAACACACAATACAATATTATTGATTAGTCTTGCTAAAGTCCATGATTTTTATTGTAAGACAAAAACCAAAAAAAATGTACATGTATTCAATCCTTTTATAAGCATATAAGAAAAGCATGTAAGTATATAATTTGGAAATTACAAAACAACTACATGTACCTGTTTGCGGCAAACTAAACGTGAATCAGAATTACTTGATATACGCATGTAAAACCATTGTCAAATATATACACAACAACCACCAATGTATGGGTAACTATATTGCACTAAACTACACAACCAATACAGTGTAATGCTATCATATAAATTGATTGCATGTGGTTATAAAATTTAATATCAATCTGTGGAATCGAAACAAATTTCATAAACTAAGGACTAAAACTTTAAATAGAGATACATTATACTATAAAAATGGGTAAAAAGTAAAAACATCAGTTGGTAGAAATTCATTAAAACTTTTATGGACATATTTCAAACAAAAAGGTCACAGTAATATGGCAGTGAAAATACAAAGGGAACAGTGTTTAAATATGAAATTAAAAAAATTGAATTCTACAGAATTAAGTCTATAAAAGCATACAACTTAAAAGTTAGATCTAAATTATGCTGTGTGTAGTAGCGAAACAGTTATCCCCCCTTCAGAAAATGGTGACTTTAGATGTAGCAGAAAACCCTGATTTCTCCAAGGAAAAGAAAGCAGTTTACGACTTCCATTTAAAGGTCATCATTTTATATCTTCATAACAACCCTAGATTATTGGACAACAGACAATACACACACCCTAATTATACTCGCATGTACATCACTATTCCAAAATCTACCACAAATATCTAGGTCTCCATCTTATTATTGATGCAAAAATGAATTGTGTTACATTTGACAATTTATGTTAAGAGTATTATGATGAGATATATTGTTCAGAGTTTGAAAATGTTGGAAAAAATAATACCGGACACATAAATGCCGAAACATTTTCTCACCCTTGTTCTATTCAGTGTAATTCCACCATAATACACATATATTTGTTGATTATTTTTAAATGATCTATATCAACTGGAAAATTTGAAATTCAAATCAGTTGAGATAATACAAAAGTCCATGTTTGATGCAAGTAAAAGACACTGTACATCTATTTCACTCCATATTCTACAATATTGACATGACGCTTGTAACGTTCCAATACCCTATCCCCTTAATTTTTTCTAACAATCACTTTTTCCCTTTCCTAATATATTCCTCTCTTTCTCCAAAACAATGCTCCTGAAACTGTTAATTCAGTTTTTTTGTGTAAGCCTCAAAGACATGCATGTTTTGGAGAATCCTTCCAGGAAAGTCTAAATAACTCTATCAAGGTTTTTCCATTCTTAGGAAACCTTGAAGACACTATTCAGCTTCCTCTTCCTCGGTCTCTAGTCCTGAATCCAGTTCTGGGTACCACGAGCTGTTCTCAGCTTTACAAAGAAACAGCAGTACTCTGTCAGCGTCCACCTGACATAAACAGGAATAATTATAGAGATATTGGCATGGAATAAATTACTGAATTGTCTTATCACAACTGAACTATATATCATGTAAATAGGTACATTTGCATATATCTGGTATTGATTATTCTGGTACTTCATATATTTATTTTCTTAAAGGCATAAAAAATTATGGATTAACAAAAACTTCTGTCTGAAAGTATTCATCGTTCTTTCAATGTCTACATCATTTTTTAAACTGACCCTGTTTCCTGTGACCCAGGAATTTCTTCTGCTAAAAAGGTGCACCAAGCTAAAAAATATGTAGTGCATATTCAACCGATGTCTTGAAGTATATATTTAAGTCTTCCAATGTTTTACAGGATAATGACCATTATTGTGATCACATATATTATTTATACAGATTATTTGGTTGGTAAAATCTTTCTATTAATCAAAGTTAAAATACCTACCTCGTAATACGACATGTTAGACGATATCTCTTTGGGGAGTTTCTTTATATGAAGCTTAAACTGCTTTCCTTTCAGTTCTCCTTTTGTTTTCCCAGTCACCGTCAAACAAAAAGACCTTATTAAAAAGAAAAGGTAAATGTAAGATTTTGTTTCCGTGTACTGATGATGGAAAGCTGGTTTGTAATCCCAAATTAATTACTGCAGTTACCTCCCTTACACCACTGACTTGCACATGTAAATAGCAATTTTTCATTTCGCTTAAATATGTTCTTGATTATGTCAGGAGCCAACTGAGGAGAAGACTTATAGAAGCACTGCCTGTTGTCTAATCTTTTGTTAACAGAATAAAATTTGTTGAAACAAAAAGAGCGAATTGATCAGGCCTAGTCTGCAGTTCACCCCCTTTCAAGGATAAACCTAACTAAATAAACTTGTCAAATTGAAAAGGAATATCAGAATCGTGATCACCTTTCTTCAAAATCAACTGTCACATCTGCATTGTCAGCTTTCTTGATGAACTTGAGACCTTTCATCTGACGTGATGTTTTCAGGTTCTTGACTGCCACAATTACTCTGACAAATCCATCTTTCTTTTTTTCATCAGTAGCTGTGAATACAAAATTTTATTCAGTCTTAATTGCTGTTCAATGAACTGTAATACAATATTGTACAAGCATCCAGGGGTTGAAGAACAAATATTTTTGATCAATTATAAATTTTTTTTTGAATCTACATGTACGGTACTGCTAAATGATCACACAATCAACTTGCATATGTAATAAATTAGACAGTTGACCCCTTAAACTTTCAACATTCACTGCACTGTCAAAAAAATGCCAATTTTCGACAGTTGAGTGATTTCAGTTTATATTTAGGTCATAACTCAAGTTTGATATCAATACACAAAATATATGACAAATGTTTTCACGACTGACATAAAATTATGTAACTAAAGCTGGATTTTAAAGTTGGGGTTTCTTTCTTAGCAGTAAATTGCCTGAAAAAAAGTATGATATTTCATTGAGTAAAATCTCTAATATTGTTGGAGCAAATGGTATTCCCGAATGGCGTTAATTAAATAATGATTATAACAATTAAATTGTACAAATATTTTAATTCCATCATTCACTTTGATATTAATCTAGATTCCTAACGGACAGTTTATCTTGGATTTATGTGTCTATAGCTATGATGCTGAATGCATGGAATAAAATTAGGTACAAATCTGTGATGATCGAATTACCATTTGACTTTCATTTATATTGTTTATTATGTTGAAAATAGTATTCATGCTACCAAGCACTAACAACTTAAACAGTTATTTGAATGGCAAGACCCAGTGTCTGTGATTTAGCCAAAGTTTCATCTGGGCTCAAAACCAGACTTTTTTTTTTACACATCAGTCAAAATGTCAATAGTCTACAGGTGTTAAGATCAGAGGAAACTCGGGCTTCCTTTCTGTTATAAAGATTTGCAACTCTCATATCAATATTAACAATACTTTTAAGGTTCAACAAGGCCCTTAATTTCGATGATATCTCCTTTCTTTGTAATTCGGTAGTAATTGGACTCTTCGCTGCTTAATTATTAGCGGATTGAAATTTAATTAGACCATACTCATTCTGATGTCATATTCCGTTCTATACTGTACATTTGGGCCTTAGTCCAGCTCCGGATTCTTGGAATGATCGTCTCAATATATTAACCCAAGCGTTTGGAGCTGGACTTGCTTCACAATATACGATACGTACGCAGTGACGTTACGGTGATGTAACATGTGCTTGCCATTTATTGACATATCGAGCGATCATTATTCTGTATCGAATACTATGGCCGCGAATGTATCGGGAATTGATACATTGTTAGCCAGTGGTGCAGGAAAACAGTGATGCACTGGAAATGTTGTTGCATCTTACCATAATCAGGTATTATAACTTTGGAACTTTCGGCTTGTTTACTATCGTCCGCCATTTTTGCTCCCGATTTCCTGATGTTCGGAATCTCTCGCGTGTTGGTAAATATGTATATACAAGAAGCATTCCGTTTGTAAACTGACATTTAGCGGGAAAAAATTAAACAAAAAGTTGTCACTAAAACAAACAGAACATCAGTATCTTATATAGGCATCTGAATAAGTAGGTAAATAAATAAACATAATGCCGACAGAACAACAACAAATGTAAGCATGCATAGAGTGATAAAGGACAATCTGAAAAAAATACATAACTTGAGCCAGGGACGTTACAGTACTGTCCCTGCTTGAGCGAAACAGACATCTAAAGCCATAGTATATACGTCTCTGATTTTGCAGATCGTAGAAAGCATACAAGGCTGATTATGCATGATAAAATATGCAATAGCAAAGTAGCTATTAAGTATTTATTCCACACATCTTGTCCCCATAATTAGGCTCTCGCAGAACGTCCCTGAGGAAAGAATCATTCTACCGCAAGACAATCAACAGATACTCTATCCTCTTTAAAAACCGCAATCCACTCCTTAAAATACTTACTCTTTCATTTTATATCATAACACACATGACACATATATTGATAGAAGTAGAAAGGGGGATATTTGTAAGTTAAGTGATGTTTATTGTTTGGCCATTTCCATATACATGTATATCCTACTCCATACGAACCGAGACGTCCATATCAACCCAAGGAGCCTGAGGCCTTAGGGCTGATATAGGAGGGTTGGTACAGGGCACGGTATGGGAATGGTAAACTATTAACCTTTTTATCATATACAACACATGTACACTGCAAATATCAGAGACGCACAACTACACTTAGTTATCTGCACAAATTAAGAAGCGTGGTTTTCTTGAAACGGAAGTAGATATGGCGTGTACCTGAGGCGGATATGGGTCCGACGGGTCCGGGATATGGCTTATGAGCAGTATCACAATCACACATGGAAAAACAACCCGTATATCACGGACAAGGAAATATATGAGTTGTTTTGCCTGTACGATACTGCTAGTTGTGCATAGGCTATATTTTGGACCAATCTAAATCTGCCCGCCCGCGCCATATACATCCGGGACGTGCATTATCCGTTTTGCTACATTAAAAGATCACGCCTCCATTACATACACTGAATGATGTTATTGTTTATAATGACGGTGTTGCATTTCAACATTAACGGTATATATTATATGATAAACGGGTTACCATATGGCCATATCCTAACCAGTACCAACACCGAGACACTTCATATATATGTCTTCACTGGAGGACGGCAACCTTTGACCCCTTGCTGTAACGGGAGTGACATTTTTTTCGCTAAAAAACATAAAATAATTGTGAAATGCACTAATGTAACGGTTCCTGACGTGGAGCATGTATATTTTATAGTTAAAGTGTCAGGGTTTGACAATTTTTATGCCGAATTCTCTCCATTAATTGTCTATGGTATATTAAAATGATTGGATGGATCTTAACAGCAGTAGATCAATAATAAGAAAATCCAAATTCTAGGGTATAAGGCGTTACTTAACATTTCAATAGTCATAGGCCAGGATTTTATGAACCGGAGGCGTAATTACGGTTGCCCTGGTAGAGGGTCCATGGGGAAGCTCAGAAGCTGCTGGATTTCAACAATTTAGCATCATATTATGAAGTAGCCAGACTGATAAATATCTCTCTATTTTAGATTAAGTTCTGGTTTCGCTGAACGACACACATGATACAAGACAAACAAACACTGAAGTATAAAGTTCTTTCGTTCTAAATANGAATCGCACGTAAGATTTACAAGAAGACACTCAAAAATACCGATTGTAGCAGCTGACGAGGCGAATACCGAAAAAAGATAAATTACAAGCATGCTAGCAGAAGGCGGATGCGTGTCTACAGGCAAATGGTTGTGGGAAAACCCTTGACAGTTCAGAAATATGTCACTGTTGTATCTGGAAGGGAATATTTCCTTTGCGGTGTTGGCAAAACAAATGACATCTCACATGGCAGTAAACGGATACATGGATACCTCCTTTGTAATGCAATCTCACAGGGCAGTAAACGGATACGTGGATACCTCCTTTGTAATGAAATCTCACATGGCAGTTAACGGATACATGGATGCCTCCTTTGTAATGACATCTCACATGGCAGTAAACGGATACATGGATACCTCCTTTGTAGGATGGTGGTTCTCTAATTTCTTTGTGTGTGTGGAGCATGAGGAAGCCAAGTCCACCAAAGTAAATCCTACAGTTCACTGTTGGCCGGGAAAACCGAAGGAAGCTTTTTCAGGCCCCTAAAATATGCAAATACGGTCCAGAACATTGCTATCTCTCCATTTAAATACTCCAACAACCTTTTAATAGACAACAGCCTATTGATGGTGGTGATCCACCACTACACAAAAAAAATTGCCCAAAATCTTTAACCTCAAACCTCAAAAACTTTACCCAAGTCCAATTAAGCTGTGTTCGGACCCTAAAATATGAATGGTCCAGAACATTGCTTACACTCGATATAAATTCTTTAACCTTGAAATAGACAACAGCCTATTGATGGTGGTGGTCCAACACATAAAAAAATGCCCAAAAACGTCAACTTCAAGCACAGGGGCACGTTACAAATGTCTGAAATACACACATATGCTATACTGATATGGGTCACAACACACATAAACATATACGTTTATGTGTGTTGTGACCCATATCAGTATAGCATATGTGTGTATTTCAGACATTTGTAACGTGCCCCTGTGCCTCAAGCTTGCCCCAAAACTTTAACCAAGTCCAATTAAGTTGTTTTTGGCCTCACAGCAGACAAATGTGTATTGAATGTGATGATCCAACACTGTCTGGAAACATTTTTAACCTCAGAAGGTGGGACGCCGACTCTGGGATGACTACACTAGCCCCCTATTCTCCGAATAGTTGAGCTAAAAAGGGAAAAAAGTAATGGCGGAATAAGACCAATTGATTCGGAAGGGTAGTTGCCTTCTACGTCATCGATGACAGCCGCTATGTACATTTAAGTAATGTTATGGGTGGTCAGATAGCGCAGTGAACAACGCACTTGCCTTTCACCTAGGAATTGGATTATCTGAGTCTGTGCTTTCACCAAAGCAGCCGGGGGTTTCATTCCTCGATCTGACATGAAAAGGTATTTGGTCACATGCCCGGGATCTCCAGCTTTCTCCCACATTAAGACCTCCGCACGCTTACATCCAGACAAACGAAAGTGGTTAATATAAGCTGTAATGACTTGTTTCTTAATTGTTGTAAAACAATTGAAGTCTAAATATTAAAGTAGTGTCGAGTCCTCATACCGAGAACCACGGTGGTAGCAACGACACAAAGGCACACCAATAAGCATAACAAAAAGTCTCGACGTTTACGACAGGAACTATAACATAAATTACAATGAGACAATGATCCAGGATCCCGATCATAAAGCTTGTCCATAGTCTTCAAAAGCATTATCACATTCTGGACAGCAACCAAAAAGTCCCAGGAGCCTTCCCTTCACATTAGGGGAAGTCAAAACATACACAATGTGTATTATTCTCAAGTCCCTGTGTTTAAAGCTACTACAACGGAATATAACAACCTGGCAGAAGCTAAAGAAAGGTATAAGCACCGGGTGCACCATCGTTATTTTATTCACTTTGTAACACTTCAAGTTAGAGTAAGATGAATTCGGTAGGGAAATTGAAACTTGTATAGGGTCGGTCGGGGTAAAGTATCTACGGCAAGGTATGGTCTTCGTTTTCTCCAATAATGCGTCATTTTTAAGTCTTTAAGTTTTCAGATATAGGGCTAGACACCATGTGTCGTTAAAAATATCATGAAACGGAAACTCGTGTAAGATTGTATGTATCAACTGTATATGAAATTTGTTATACGTGCTGTTACCATTAAGAAACTTTATAGGGAACTGATGTTATACCTCGCGTTGCAACGAAACCATCAATAACTCTTTCTTTGTTTATTCATGCACATTTTATTATTCTGGAAATCTAGGATCTCCATTATTTTCTTAAATGACTTGTTTTAAAACATTTCCAGGTGCTTAACTTGAATCACCTCTCAAATATTGTCATTTCCGTCTAAATTGGTTACAAGTGTTATCATATAGTCAAATGATATGCAAGTTACCTGCGAATCACTCAAATCTGCCTCTTTCGGCCCGGAACCCTAGACACCTCCCCTGGTCACCCGATTCACAAAATCTTGCATCTGCGTCTGTTTTGCATTCTCTTGAACCGAGTTAATGAGTACAAAGTGGATTAGAGAAGGGGGATAAGCCATTTGCTCGATCATTCACATGGCAATGCTTTTTCTTTGGTCAAGAGACGAAACGTCTAACAACCATCCGAAGTCAAGCAGATTAACCGTGAGGAATCTCAACCCCCGGAGAAGGATTTCCCTATCTCAGAGGGTGAAAGACTCTAATAGTCTCACTCTAGATGATGAGACAATGGAGGGGGTCTCAATCATAACACTATTGCATGACGTCACGGTGGAAAAAAATCGAGTACTACAAACATCTCAATCTCATTTCTGCTCCATAGTTTCAAATTGAAGATATTCGAGTCCTCATCTTCAGATTCATATCTGGACATATACCCACAGTATTCAAGGTTTATCACCTCAGTACCAAGATTTCAGAATCACTTGTTCAAAAGTGCCTTAGATCGTTAGTGACTCAATATTAATGTTACTTTAAAACAAGAGGCACTCTGAGACTGTGTTGGCCACCTGCTATTCAACAAAAGCCGGGAACACGTCATGCATCTGCGGTCTTCATTGTAGCGCCAGTGCAAATTTATTCAAACACATTTGCTGTAGAAATCAACTAGGCTAAGTGACATACCTCATGGATCTGTTTAACCTATACTCACAGAACTTTCGGTCAATTTTTCCACACATTTGACCTCTGTGACCAGGAATAATTGTGACCGTTGTTCGCGCTACTGATCAAATAGCATGATCCTTGCAATATGATTATTCCGAAGTCGTTTAAAGATTTTAATAAATTTTACCCTCTTGATTTTCTAAGTTGTTATTTGTTCAATTTTTAACTGCTTAGCCCTTCAAATGTCAGCATGTTACAAGCCACATACATGTATAACATAGGTCGTTTGGTTATTTATAAATGATTTAAACATTTTAACACCTTTTACCCCTACAACCTTGAAAGTGGATCAAGAGCATTTATCTAAGCATTGTATAACCCAAGACTCCTGGTTATTCAAAAGTTTCAAGGCATATGACCCCTGTGACATTTAAAGTTGGTCAAGCTCAACCTACTGGTTATAAATCATGACCCTAGCTAAGGCTACTTATTATTCAGCATTTAGTTTTTAAAGATTTAACACATTTGACCCGTTACCCCGAGAACCGGTCAAGGTTTGATAGACTTGATAGCCTTTTATCCCAATATCATCCAGTGCCTTTTGTTATTCAGGAGAGGAGGTTTGAATTAAAATGTTGACAACAGGTGAGTTAATGATAAATGAAGACCAAATACTGATTTGCTATTTGTTTTATTAATGTGTATGGACCAGTATCACTGTACCATATAACCATGTCCGCCTACAATGATGCCCTAATACACACACTCTATGTTACAAAGGCACAGCTAAGTTGTATCAGAGCATGAAGATTTCATAGTTCAACCACTGCTTCATACATCTACACATACTTTTCATACTAATAACAAGTCTTTTGCTTCCATGCACACCAGTTCCCGAAAAACCTTCAATATGATGCAGAAAAAAGTTACATCCAAGACATTGTGTTTGAATACTCCCGAGTATTGGTAACAACATGATACAATTGTCTGTGTTCAGTGAACCATTGTATCTAAATGCTTGTTGAAGATCAAGGTTAAAATTTGAAAGATTTGATCTGAAAGATTTATCACTTATCAGCACTTTTGGAATTTCCGCATGATTTTTTCAATTCATAACTTGAGAAATCTAATGGCTAACACTGTATCTTCCTAAACTATTCATCACGGCCAGAGATAAAACATAGTAATCTGACCATCAGGAATTTGTATTGCATCTAAATAGTTATTAAACTCAGAAATATGCGCATTCCAATATGAGTCGGAAATATGTCAATGTACTTGAAAATATGGAAGTGTATGACAGGAATGAAATAATTGTACTTTGAATTGTAATTGTAATTAGAAAGTTTTGGACATTTGTATTGTCTCCACCTTTCAGGGGCAGACAGACATGAGCAAAGCACAGATCCTTCTGTTATACAGCAGGATCACACTAACAATATACCACAGTGTACACAATGTCTAGCCACATAACAAATACAGACCTCACAAACAAGCTCATACCGACTATGTGTAACATTACTGGGCGTCTAGCTACAGGTAGTAATATACCACAGAGTACACAATGGCTAGCCACATAACAAATACAGACTTCATAAACAAGTTCATACCGACTATGTGTAAGATTACTGGGCGTCTAGCTACAGGTAGTAATATACCACAGAGTACACAATGTCTAGCCACGTAACAAATACAGACTTCATAAACAAGCTCATACCGACTATGTGTAAGATTACTGGACGTCTAGCTACAGGTAACAATAAGCACACATTTATGTTACCTACAATGTAATCTCAGATTCAAGTTTGTCTAGCTATGTTTCCAACAAAGCTATCCCAGACTTGTAACTGTAAAAACATCTGTACATACAGATCAGGCCTTTCTCCATATATATGATTATCTGAAGAGATACAAGACAGTAAATACATCTTCAGCTTTCAGAGTTGGAAATTAATTCCATCATGCTATAACAATATTGAATAATATTTTAACTCAATGAGTGAAGTTGAAAAGGGATTAAATCAATTTCAGACACACAGTACATAAAAAAATGATCTTGTAACTACAATGTGAACTGGATCCTTGAATAATTGTATGTAGTTTTAATCCCAAACAAGCTATATACAGTATTAAACATGTATGAATATATTAAGTAATGTTTATAAAAGTTTGAAGTACCACTCCTTCCTGAAACTGATAGCCCATAGATGAAGGGACATAACTCTATTCGTAATAAAAATTCTCCAATTTTAGTGAAAGTACTATGGGAATAATTGACGCCAAGTTATATACATATGTACACTGAATGATATTTTGCTTCGTAATTACATATTTTTGTCATTTAACATTTTTCCGACACTCTATACTCTCATCTAAGTCTAAACTCCCATATTTATGTAACATGATTTTAAATGCGTATTTACATTGTATGATTGATACGATCACAAGCTTACACTTTCCATACAAGGTGCTGATGTTTAGGCATACCCTCAATTTACTCATTCACCCCTGAAGTTTCATAATGAACTATTCCAACCTATGGATTGGAAGAGTTCAAATGTGTCTTCAGGGGTGAATGAGTAAACAAAACAGTTAACATACGTGCCCCTTAACAAAAACAAAATATTTGAAGCACAAATTTATACAATCAGGAATCTTTCCAGCAAAACTAATTTGATTTTAACAATTTTACATATACAACATGATGATCTATGATCATTACGAATCCCCTTAACAGGGTCGATCAGGGGGTAGGATTCAGAGGATGCAAAAAAAAAAGAAAACAATATTAAGCATATAGATCAATCTACGTATTTCATTTCTCTTCTGCTATGACTAAAGCAAACAAATTAGATAAATTAATTATCTCATTAAAAACTATCAAGAAGAAAATATGTACATTCCGTGGTGTATTGATTAACTTTCAAATCATAAGACAGAACACCACCAATGATGCATAACAAGCTTGCCATTGTTAAACATTGAGTATCCATACCTGCCTGTAATAAAAAGTAGTATCTTATATTAATATCTTTAATATAGGTGTGTTCATGCAATATACATTTTACATTTTATTTCTTTGTTTTGGGGTACAGCCTTGGATAAAAGGATGTTGTTGATTTATTTTTGTCAACTTGTTAGCAATTCACTTAGGCAAGCTACATGCAAAATATGGCTCTATGCCTTATACACTGCTTGCAAAATTGAATAAAACTTCACTGCCATTCAACTGGGCAAGGTACAGGCAAAATATCAGGGTTTGTTCATAGGCCTCATGGTTTATTAGAAACAGTCGTGGAATTTCAGCGTACTTGATCTGTGACCTTGAAAGTGGGTCAAGACCATTCATTGAGCAAACTTGGTGACCCTTCATCTAATAAAGCTACAGGCTAAATATCAAGACTCTATATCGATAATAGATGGATAACTGCCATCACATAAGCTCACAGGCACTTTTAGTCCGAATTATTCGGACATTTTATCGACTTTTTTTATATCGGTCTGTCGTCGATTAACATCAGAACTCCGGCCCTCTATAATATGCGGGAAATAAGCCACCCGCGCCTGGGTCGCTTTTCAAACTGATATTTTAGAAACAAATCGTCACTTTCACACACATGTCGCACATGGATCGAAAGATCTATTATTTATGCACAAGATGAACATAAATTACATGCCTCAAACAACCAATACAATCACTAAAAACATTTTTTTTCAAACTTACTCTGTTTTACTTTACGTTTTTAGATAGCCCCACCTTCTAATGCCACGTGACTAAAATCTCGACGGCCTACGTGATAACGCGAGATCTCATCAAGTCATGTGACGTTGCTCATGCCCTAATTTCCATTAAAACATGGGTTGGTATAGAAAACGTTGGAAAATACTGTTCGTAATGATCTTTGAAACATGTTATTGATACCACCTAGTGCATAAAGAATAGATCTTTCGATCTATGTGCGACATGTGTGTGAAAGTGACAATTTATTTCTAAAATATCAGTTTGAAGAGCGACCCAGGCGCGGGTCGCTTATTTCCCGCATATTATAAAGGGCCGTAGTTCTGACGTTAATCAAAGACAGACCGATATAAAAAAAAGTAGATAAAACATCAGAATAATTCGGACTAAGGCACTTTGTGCCAGGTGAAATAATTACAAGACAGCTTAACAGTAAAAGTTATTGAGCTAGACAGCAATTTCTGATATAACAGACAATGCAAATAAAATCTGTCTTAATTTCATCAGAAAACATTCAATGTTTCAATACAATAATTCCTGTAACTGATCAAAAGTTCTTCAACACAAACAGTTATCGTTTAATATTAATGAGGATTCATTTTGAAAGGAAAATGTTCAAATCAATTGTGAAGCAAACCAATTTTAACATTATAAGGAGGCCTTGTGTCCCTCTACAGAATTGCACTATTGTATCTCTGTATAAAGATCCAGCGGTCTTGTTGACATGCTTAAAAGTTCACTGGACTATTACACAAACCAGTAAATCTAAAAAAAAGTCTCAAAATATGTAGATCTCTCAAGACATACATGGATTTCACACTTTGAGCAAACTTAACTATATATTACAATTATAATAAATCTAAATACTTCAAAAATCATATCAATAGTATAATAAAACATTATGGCACAAATAGTTGTAAAACTAGTTTTAACATATCGTAAATTAAATGTTCTTATGCATTTTTAACATAACCATCACAGTCCAATGTCACTGTTCTGACTGAACAAGCTTGCTCCCTGTTCTGGAAAACTTGCTTTCTTCTCTACCTTAAGAAGCTTATTTCGTGTTCTGTCTGATGAAGAAGCTTATTTTGTGTTCTGTCTGATGACGCTGGCTAAGTATGGGAGCTAGCTCACTAATCAAGCTAACAGCCGTTTCGACAAGGAGCTTGCTACTTGATCCAGTCGACAGAGCTGGCAGTACATGTAGTGTTCCACACATCACATAAGTTGTGGTTTTTCACAACACATCCAGTGAGTTTTTGAACATGAGAATGCTGTTGAAGATTTTCAGAGCTGGACCCAACTTCACATTCATGATCTTAACAATGTCGGTCTGAGTGATCAACATGAATGCTTCTCCGTCAATTTGCTGTAAGAAAAATGATATAAAATATAAGTTCAGCCACTGGTCCAATGTTAAAGGAACTTCAAAAAGATGATTTTATGCTTTTACCATGTTTCTTTGTGATTTATGCCAGAATTACAAACTTGACTGAGAAATATAATCTTTTATGAAGTTCTTCATATGAAACTGTTCCTTATTGCTGGACTGGTTTAAACAAATCTCATATAAAATAAAAATGTGTTCATCTCAATACTTTATAAATAAGGATACAAAATATGAATGCTTTTTATGACATTGCATATACCTCATCCTTAAAAGCCTTGGCGTGTTCCTCACAGCCAGGAAGTGAACGGACAAACTGGGACACCTGGTCCACGTTCCAGCTGGATACCTCGGAACCTTTCATCTTGTCCACTCCTGGCAGAAGCTTCGAGTGTTGTTCCCAGCACAACGGTAGGTCTTTGTTGGGGTTTGGTACCATGGATGACATGAACACAGACTGGTGGATCCCATTGTGCAGGTTATTGGTGTTTTTAGAGTCTGCAGACACTACATGAATATTCATGAGATTAAAAATTTACATATATATGCAAATGAACAAAAGAAATGTTGACAGGAGCGCTTTGAATGCTTATGAATTAAAACGAAATAAATAATATTATGAGCAGTTGATGAATGCAATTCTCATCTAACAAGGCAAAGCATGAATTATGTCACTTTGTCCAGGTAACAAATTACCACTGTAAATCACATATATTTACGCATACATATTTCATGTATACCATACTTTTAATTACAACTGTTCTTTCATCCCTAGAAACTGAATGGTGAGGATTTTAATTTGATCCTTGTAATGTGCCTGAATTGAGAATTTGAAATCCCCTTGCCAATCAATGTAATAGTTTACATCTTGCTAAATATCAGTAAAATACAATAATTCCAGCATGATGGTAAACATGCTTTATTGTGTAGAGATTATGCAACTATTGTTCATACCTTTACTCTCCTTCTCTCTCTCCCGTAACATTTTGTGAGGTCCTCGGTCACCCATGTTCAAGTAGTAGCTCCTGTAAGGAATAAAAAATAAAGGTCAGTTCTTAGGAGTATTATGAATAAAATGAAAGCATGCTTTTGATGAAGAGGCAGACAAAACAAAAAGGGTCACCAGAATGGCAGATTTATACCACTTACCTGCATCAAAACCTGTAGGAATTGTTGGTATAACTGCGTAAATAGAGGGACGTAACTCAAATTCATATACTTTATTAACATCCGGCTTGATGCAAGTGTTCTGTATCCCAAGTATCATTCAAATCAGTGGTGTATTTACTTTATTCACATTCCCTGAACGTAATTGTGAAGTGTACTAATTATCATTTACATCCGTGCAGAACTGCGAGAGGAGTATAGAGAACAATGTTTTTAAAGAAAGGGTCATAACTCCATTATATGGAGAGGCAAGAAGTTATTGGGTCCCATAAAGACAACATAATGATTTACCTTGGAAGGTGGATCAATCATATTCATTGATTAAAACATGGAAACCTTTTTCTTCAGGGCTTAAAATCAAAAGTGTAATTTCAGCAAAGGCTGAATTCTTTATGATGGGAATTTTTTCTCCTTCACAGGGAAAATTCATATTAATGCAGTATTGATTCTATATAAGAAATATTTAGCATTATTATGTTGTGTACAAATGTTTTAACATATTTGTGTTTTGGTGCAAATTTCGACAGATGGTAGATTTATATTGATTATTGGTTGATGTTCAAGTTCAAATAATAAATCGTTTATATTGGATTTATTTCAAGGACAGGACTAACCTTGGTTTGCGGCCTCTCCCAGATTTGACCTTGACCTTGCCAGTGTCGCCATTTGTCATATGCAGAGGTTTACTCTGCATCTGCATCATCATGATGTTTTTCTCCGACAGAGGACAGCCCGAGACTTTATGGTGCATGGTGAATTTCCCGGTGATATGCCCTGATCCATCACAGCCTGGGGTGGGACATTTCCTACAGACAACACAAGTGATCTTAGCAACCAAACAATGGGCTATGTCACTTCATATGAATATTGAAAATTTTCAGCTTTGATGAGTGTTATATATTTAAATCGAACCCCTATCATAGCAAGTAAATTGACAGAATTAACGTCTGTCTGCTAATTACATGCATGCAAGGAACTAGACCAGTTGTACAGACCATTTGTAAATTAGAGATTAATGTATCACCAAACACAACTAGAAAAGCATTTAATGACACACATTTTTACAAGTTTGATCAAACTGACGGCAACTGTTTATGGCATCACTTACTTCATCTCTGGAGAAGAAGGATATTCCATGCTCCTCTGGGATTTGAAGGTGGGTGTACCAGGAGGTGATGGGGCAGGGGTTTGGTTCACTTCCTCTGCCCTAGTCGACCCTAGTCTGTCCTGAAGAGTTGTCTCCTTGTTAATGTTGGAGCTGGAGTAGGGACAGCCAAATGCACTGAAAAATATCATAATATTTTGTCACAAAAACTATCATAGACCAAAAAGTCAACCAGTAGCTTGGTATAGTGTCCAAGAACAGCATTATTTTGAATATTGAACAACATTGAGGGACATACTAAATATGACAACGGCAGAACAATAAAGGGATTCACCTCTTAAAATTGCCACACTATTTTAATCTCCAGTAAAACATAGTTCAAGTTAATCAATTTGACATAATTTATGGGAATTTGTGCTTAAAATTGTGTTAAGAGAAGAATGGCAAACAGCTCTATCTGTGGTGTTCTCCGAACCTGGCCCCAGTCTAACCTGTGGTTCCCCTTGTACCTGGCGCTATCCCAATCTGTGGAGCCCCCGTGTAACTACCCCTTACCCTACCTATGGTGACATCATAACTGGCCCTATCCCTACCTCTATAGCTACCCTTGTACCTGGCTCTAGCCCTATCTGGGGTGCCCCCTTTACGTGGCTCTTTCCCTAGATACCTTTTGTGTCCTCTGTAACTGGCCCAACCTTTATATGGTGCTTCCTTTACTTGGCCCTATCCCTAGCTATGTTGCCCCCTGTTCCTTGCTCTAGCCCTACCTCTGATGCTCCCTTTACATAGCCCTATCCCTGCCTATAGTGTCCTCTGTAACTGGCCCAACCTTTATATGGTTCTTCCTTTACTTGGCCCTATCCCTACCTATGTTGCCCCTTGTACCTTCCTCTAGCCCTACCTCTGATGCTCCCTTCACATAGCCCTATCCCTGCCTATGGTGTCCTCTGTAACCAGCCCCAGCCTTACCTGTGATGCCCTGTGTACTTGGCTCCTTTTATGTGACCGATGCCCTTGCAGCCTGGAGTTGGACATCCTCCTTTCTCAGCTGTATCTACCAGATCTGCAGGACCTATGAACACATAATGTACAATGAGTAAATAATTAGTTGTATTATTTATCTTATTCAGTCTTTGCGTATTGCAGAGTTATCTTCTCTTGTGAGCAGGTATTGATTGTTATGTCCTTGGTTTGTGTGAGAAATTTACGTCGTTTTCTCAAAAATTGATGACGTTACTCTCACAAACAAATGACGTAACAATCAATAGCTGCTCACAAGAGAAGATAACTCTGCAATACGCAAAGACGGAATAGTGAAGATCAATCGATTGTAAACTACACAAGTCAGTGAAGTGAAAAATTAATATAGGTCACAGTAACCTACATTTGATGCATTGGTTCAATACTCAATATGTTTGATGACATTTGATTTCCAAGTATTAAGAGAATTGTTGTTGAAAGCAAAGTCTAATCAAGATATACAGACAAACTGATGGAAAAAGCAATTACTTGATGCCCCCTCCACTATGCTGCGAGGGCAAAAGAGGAAAAGTTAGGTGGTACATATATTGTAGTGATCAGCTACTTACTTATGGGAGGGGTAAGTGGGTGGTTTGTCTTGCTACACCAGCCTGGAGGATGGATATCTGTACAATCATCATCCATCCAGTAGTCAAAAGTATCTGCCCACCCATCAAAGTGGATCTTGATCAGGTGATCGTTAACTTCAGCCACAGTTGCAACACGAATGAGGAGTGAGTTCCTTTTATCAACAACTTCTAGTTTCATACCAACCTTAAAACCCAAGGCTACCCTCTGAAAAAGTCACAAATTTGATTTCCTCATAACTTTCAAATCATCACAGAAATCAATTAACATAAAATCATATGGAGTTATTTCATGGAAAACCTTAGCCAATCAGACTTGAGGAAGTGCCAGTTATCTTGTTAGCCAATCAGATTTGAAAAATTTATTGTCAAAACTTTCATATCCTTTCACAGCAGCTGTAATTAGGTCATATGATGGTGGAGTCCGATATCTCTTGAAATGTTCAAAGCATTAAATCAATCTGTATTATTGTGATACATCACTAAATTAACATTTAATAACAAAACATAAACAATGTTGTACTGGTAGGATTGTCTGTGGACTTACAGGTTTAAATGCTCTAGCAGGAACAACCAATGATTTAGTTTTAGCCAGATAACTCTCCCATGTAAAGTCCAACTCCTTCCAATCTGAATAAAAAAATATTATATTATTCAATTTGATGCTAAATACATGTCTTATTTAGTAATTTATAAAACTAAACAGTTTTACATTACCGAACTCCTTTGTTGACACAAATAAAGTTTGAACTTGAGTCAGTTAAATCATTTATAAATTGTATGCACAAATATTTGCAATTATGAATATAAATACACAGCAAAAGTTTCCTGTTATACATTGGGGTGGAGGCAGGAGGTTGCCGAGAGGGAGTTCTACGAGTACTGACCACAAGGGAGGGACAGCTGTGTGTTGTTTTCATGACACCAGCCAACAGGGTGTATGTCAGGGGAGGTAACATCACACCAGTAGTCGTAAGTGTCTTCCCAGCCATCAAAGTGCACAAGTATTTTGTCGCCGAGTGTGTCAGCAACTGTTGACACACAGACTAAGTTGTTGTTCTTCTTGTCGACTGCCTCCAGCTTACAGCCCACTCGAAATGCATTGGGAGTCACGTTCTGTAACAAACATCAACATGCAATTGATCTGTTCATGTATATATTTAAGATGAACAAAACATCACTAGCTGAATCCTTGATTTTGTTGCTTCCCGGATGGAGCTCTATTGGATACTACGGTATCCACCTTCAATTCCTAGCCCATACAGACCACAGAATATTACCTGTAGGACATCGTATTTCCATACCCTATAACTGTGTTGTCTTACCAATACTTTAATTCTACATTTACGTCGATAATCTGTTGTTAACAATCTAGACTCAAAACAACAAACATAATACAACAACTGATTCAAATCAAAGCAAATTACAGCAACAACCCTAACCCAAAATTGGGGGTAAATTTAATAATAAAATTGATCTGACTTACTTGAGTTGGCTGGTTTTGGAAAAGATGTTTGGGAGCAGGTATGGCTTTAGCCATCTTTAGGTAGCCTGCCCAACTGAAGTTTTCTGTCGTAAAACCTGAATATGTAATTAGCGTGTATCATGCAACTGACAATAATGATTTCTTCCATTCAATCAAAACATCAATTAATAATAGCACAAGATATAAATGACTCCAGATAAAAACTCAAAAGACAATGTGGATCTTTTTCTGGCTATTTCGGGAATCTGGACTAAAATTTGGAAAATAACTAGCAGAGTTTTTTAATATGGGAAATAAAAAGTAATATCAATTTTGCAAACATAAATTCTTATAGAAGGAAATATCACTGGGATTCTGATATGTTCATTAATCTTTTTCACATTTTGAAATCATGATTTCACAGTTGGAAATAGTGACTACAACTTGGTCATACAAAACCTGAGATCACAGTGTAATCCCTTTTTTATTTTATTCAAATTGGGGAAAAACTGAGTTTTTTTCTCATTGGGAAACTAGTAGATTTTATCTCCTGAGGGTATCTAGAAAGAGTCCAGAAGTCAGACTTTATTGAAACATTTACAAGAAACAGCTGCTTTCTCTCACCTTTAGGGGGCTGTAAGACTCTCTCATGTTTATCACAAAAGCCCACAGGGTATATCCAGGGGGAGTCTGCATTGGCCCAGAAGTCATAGCACTCGGAGTATCCATCAAAGTGGAGTCGCAGTCTGTAGCCACGGATCTCAGCCACACTTAGGATACAGAACAGGGACTGGTGTTTAGGGTCAATTCCTTCAAGCTTCATACCCACCTTAAACCCACATCGAGACTGGGGGAACGGCTGAAACAAAAACAGTTGATACTAAAAAGGCACTATACATGAAAACAGACCAAGGAAGGGCCAAGTCCTACAGAGTCAGATCCTTCCAGCTTCATTCCAACCTTAATTATGGCAACAAGCATACATGTTAGAAGAATCTCTCAGCTGATTCTGTATTAATTAGTTTGAATTAAAGGGAGATAACTATTACAGATACACAGGTATATTATGATACAAAAGCTGAAACAACTGAAACGAAATAGTACTATCAAGCTATTAAAAGCCTCTTTTTCTCTTTACCATTTAATTGTGAAAAAAAGTCAACAAAGTTTTAAATAAACATCACATGGTATACTGAGGTGCAGGTCTGAACTTCTTGATTTATCTCTAGTTAGGTTCACAATTGGACATGGTATATCCACACAATACAGACCGACAGAATTACTCTTCCAAGTCATTTTTATTGAGGGTCTTAATAGATATTGTTTTTCTCAAAGCCACTTAACTGCAAAATATGATTGAATTTAGGTATCAAATTATTATTTTTGATGCTTTCTGAGAGAAAGATTGCTTACTTCTTTGAAGAGCTTGTCTGGAGCTGCCTCTCCACCTTCTTGTTCAAGATAATTCAGCCATACAAATGCTTTAGATTTCCTCCCTAAGAAAATATACAACAGTTAAAAGGACATGACCTAAATGTGATTGTGTCTCATTGCCAAATATAAATTACCTTGTTATACCAGGTATATGTCACACTTTGTAAAATACGTTTTGTATAATTATATTATTTGTCCTCCTGAGCAGAGAGATTTAACTTTTTCATAAAACAAAAAGTTTTAATTTAAAAATAATTTTCTTTACATCAAAGCATTATAACTACAAAATTTAAGAAATTCCACTGAGAAATGGCAACACAATCCTATTACCTTAATCAGGAAGCTGGACTGCAATGTTAAACTGTTAAAAATAAAACAATACTTAATTATTAAAACATATGCTCTAAATTACACCTTTAACCTACCAACTGCTAATCCTTTGGGATAGACTTCCTCTTCTCCTTGACCTCCCTTCATCAACAACAGTTTCCTCTTCTTTTTCTTCATACCAAGCACCATTTTTGACATAACATTCTTTTTCATACCCTTGCCATTTTTTCTGAAAGAATTTTACAACAATAACTGCAGGGAAAAGCTTCAGGGCTTTATATGTTAATGAAGCTATTAATTTATTTACAATTCAATCATATCTTCAACATTGCACCTACCAAAAAAACCCAAAAAACCCCCACTCATATTCAAAACCTTACAGCACACAAAAGCAAGTATCTGATAACTGCACCAAAGAAATATAGGTACAAATATAAATATAGCATTTCCATTCCAACATTTGCCACTAAATTTCTTCACACAATCCAGCTCTGCTGGTGGGACACATACACTTTTGAGTAAAATCAGAAATCTTACTTCTTAATATTGGCTGCATGCATTATATGTTTGAAATATATAGATTAGTTACAGAATAAGTGAGACAGTATCTTACTTGGATTCGTATGCCTCCATACAGGCCTCAGAACAAATGTCCCCAGAGTTTCCCAGAAATTCACTTCTGAATCCATACTCCCCACAGTTGTTACAACAGCAGACATCATCTTTGTCTCCATCATTGGCAGATTTGTCTGTATCATAAATTATTAAGTAGAGTAATATGTCCATGGAAATAACAAAGACATTCAGTGTGAGAAATTAGATGTGGCCCCATAACTCAAGGTTATGGAAATTGTTGTCAAGCTATGATAAACTATATAGGCATTTTGGATTGATTTGCTTTTATTACTGACAAAAAATGAAACTTGGGGACTTTATATACATTTCTCTGGTAATAGAACAGTTTATTTCTCACCACAATATGTTCATTATAAATACATTTCATGCCCATTCTGTGTGATATCAAATTTCACCTGTTATAATTTAACATTACTGATCTAAATATAAAATTGACAACTGTAATCACCTACAAGTAATTGTGTAGGTAGGATGTAACTGATTGTTTTAGTTACTGCCAATCAATTGGTGAGTTATCTCATGAAATAACACAAGTGTATGTAAGATGTAATTGTACAGGCTACTTCAGATCATAACACTTTAAGAATTTTACATAAAAAAAGACATCAACAAGTTCATAATATTTGTATTCAGCTACTTACCCTCTTTTTTTATTTCAAATGTTTTGAATAATTTCTTGTCGCCTGATTGGTCGTTGGTGTTTTCAGACTCGCTACTGGTGTTAAGGGTTTCTGGACATTCCAGGTCCTCAGTCACAACCTCAAGTACTCCAAACTCATTCATCTTAAACTGTACAACAGAACAATGGCCATGCATATGTAATACAGCAGTACTGTAGTAGATTCAGGTCACAGCTAAACACCTTTCCTTATCAGGTGAAAATTGAAAACGACAAATGAAATTTACAAACACACCTGTCTGTGTGAAAAATCAATGGATACACACTAAATGTCCTCTTTTATATCGTAATGAATAAAACAGTTCACGATACAACTGGGTAGAAGCTTAAGGCACAGTAGTCTCTGAGGAGTTATCATTGAGGTCTATAGAGTGTCAGGTACAGGGAATGTAACTACATTCTGTATATGAGGAGTTGTCTCTCGAGAGAGGACTGTATCTTCATGAGGGGTTATTATGAAAGTCTATGTTCCAAAGACAACTAGATAGAGGGAATGTGCATCTATGAGGGGCTGCTATGGGGTCTATGTCCGAAGCTCCTTGCTGCTATGATTCATAGACATGTTCAAACCGCCATTAGATGTGTCTGGAGAAAACTATAACATACCAGGAATATAAATACGGGTAAATTGCATATTGCTGTACATAATAACTCTATACGTCAACAGCTGCTTATAGTACACACTAGATCAAATTACTATGATGAAAGTGACAAAGTTCATGAACATTTTTTTTTTTTGTGCAAGTACGTTTTGAATTTGTATTTTTCAATGTCCAGCTGTATATACAGTGTTTAATATACCATACCTTCAGATTGCTGCCTTCTAAAGATGCTACTCCATTTTCCCACTGCATGGAATCCATTACATCAAAATCTGAGCCTGGAGGAGCTGTGTCTACTCCCTCAGATTTAACAATGTCAGGCAGTTTATCTACCTCAGTCTTGGGACTGAAAGTTTCAGGATTCTTGTCCTCTTTGTCACCTTTAGAATCAAGTGTCTGGTCAACTTCCATTGGGGATTGCCTTGTTTCTGAGGAGTCGGCCTCCTCTACTTCCACTTTTACTTTGACCTGTGGCGCCTCATCAGACTGCTTTTGCGTCACATCAGAAGTTGCATCATTTGAGCTAACTTCAGAAATGTCCGTTTCCTTTGATTTTAACTTCGATTCTTGGGAGCATTTCACAGAAGTTGTGTCATTTGAACTAGAAATACTTTCATCCAAATCATTAATCACAGATACTACTTTGGATTCTTCACTGGAAGTGTTTGATTTCTCCTCCCCCTTTTTTGATTCAGACTTCTTGTCGTCAGCCACCGCTTTCTGAGCAGTGCCAACCTGGTTACTGTCTGTCGGGGTGGAAGACTTACCCCCATTTCCCAAGTCATTGCTAGTACTACCTGCACTAGACTGGGTTGTCACACTGTCAGCTGGTTTCACTAATATATCTGCACTAGCCTTGGAATGTTTCACACTAGAACTACAGTCTGTTTCTTCATCCTCCAGTTTTTTATCCTGAATGTAATCGACTTTGCTATTGTTGGTCAGAGTTTCGTTTTTTGATAGTTGGTCGTTGTTTGCCTGCTCTACACTTGTTGTTGTAGAAGTCTGTTTAGTGGTTGTGGTGGTGGTAAGCTGTGGCGGGATACTTATCACAGGGGTAGATTTGTTGGTAGGAACTACATTCATTGAGGTCACTATAGGAATGGTTGCTGGTGCTGCTACAGGGAAGGTTACCAAGGGTGAGGATGTCGTCATGGGGATATTTGTTGCTGCAGTTACAAGTGCAGCAGTCCTCATTGGTGAAGCTGCTGTAGGTATGGGAATGGTTGATCCAGTGGTTACCAGTGCAGTTGTCCTCAATTGGGGTGTTGTTGTAAATATGGGAATAGTTGTTGCCAATGTTCCTGGTGCAGTGGTTCTTACTGTTGATGCTGCAGTGACCATAACAACAGCATTGGTATGTGGCTTGGTCAGTGACGTGACAGGAATTTTGTTTGGAGCAGAAGTGAACTGCAGTGTGGGACCTGCTGGGGTCATTTGTACAGACTGAGTGCATGTAGCCATCTGGATGGCCTGACTGTTGGCAGTCATCTGTATTGCTTGACTGTAGGTGGGAAGTCTGGGTAGTGCCTGGGACACCAGAGCTATAGGTTTGCCCCCTTGAATCATCTTTCCTTGCTGTGTGGGATTGTGAATCGCAAAAACGTTTGGTGAACCAACCTTGAGCTCCTGACCTTTGGCCCCGACGAGTGGTTTAACAGTCCAAGCCTGTTGTAAAGGGACACTACCTCCTTTTGTTCCAGGCTGGATCTGATTCACAAAAATCTGACCTTTATTGTTCTGCAGGATCTGCTGGACTGGTGCTCCTTTCCCTGGCCGAACCTGTAGGTTCTGTGGATTGATTTTGGTGACCAACTGGGGGGTAAATTTCTGCTGCACTGTGATGGCTCCAGGGGGCAGAGTTTGAGCCATAATTCCTGTTGGGAACTGAGACAAGGTCACCACCTGGGTCATGGCAACTTGTCCTGGTACCTGTACAAACATAAATCAAACAATTCACATTTAACTTATTTTGATAAGGTTTCTAATTGAATTTTACTATGAAAGGATTTTTAACTTGTGCAGCTATCTGTGAAAACCTCAGCATTTTACAATCGTTATTCTCTGTTACAATGTCTTCCTACGATAAGATATATGTTCAATTCGTTTTGGGCCAATAATTTGTCCTATTTCCTATGAGAGTTAGACATTATTTTTTTAATTTGATGATATATTATGATGTAGATGAAAAAATATAAACAATTAAAAATAAAGCCACAGGCCCCTCTCCAGATAAATGGTGGAAACATATAAGGCAAAAGCAATGTACAGCTATATAAGGTATTTGTGTATGAAGTTTCATAAAATTGACAGTTATCATCCTGTCCTGTGTATTGCCCTGTCTCACCAGTTTGCCCCCCGGAGCTTGAGGCTGAAGCTGTATGTGCTGGGGCTGCAATGCAGGGCGCATGATCATGCGTGGTTTCATGGTGATGGTTCCCCCCGACTGCTGCACCTGGTTCTGAGCTATGAAGGTTGCCGGACCCTGGGTCCTCATCTGTGGTACTGATGTTGGGTTAGGTATCTTCAACTGTGCCTGTTTACCTGCTGAACACAAGCCATAAACACCTTTCATTCAATAATCAACATTGTTATTAAAAACACATGTACATTTATATGAAGATTTCAGTTTCTACAAACATTTTGATCTATAGCTAAATAAGATTACCCAGAGAAGAATACTGCTGAAATTTCATGTCTGGGAAGAACAAGTTATCACTGCTCATTAATAAACTCTAAATATTGTATATATACAAAAAATATCCTTTGGCATAAGTACTTTGTCTTGTAATTGATCACGAAGATTATTTCATGTCTTATATTATCTGCCTTGAACAGAAATGCAACTTTCTTTTCCTTTTCCTCAGATTTTCCCCCACATAAAAACAAAACATAAGAACAAAATTAAAAGGAAGGAGTAAATATCATGTTTATATACCACAGATATTTTAGCAATATTCTATGTATGTTTCTGTTCTGAACTTGTGATCAACTTTCAGTATTGCATACTTCAAACAGACAAAGTCAGTCACTTAAATATAACATCAAAGACAAAAATTGACTCTTCCAAAACCAAATAGCCCTATATGTGGTCCATTGATTCACCTATATAAATAGCAATACTATTTTAACAGATACAGAACTGATGACTTGGTAGGGGAATAGAACACACAATGAGACTCCAGGGTATTCAAATGTTCAATCAGCCTTTCATACATCAATGAACCGTGAAACGCAAGGACCACTCACGACTGAATCCAAATATAGATTGTTCTCATAATAATATCCTTTACCGAGCAAGTCCTATAATCCGAGGACAATCAATTCCTATATGCCACAGTATACATAACATCTAGATTTTCTGCAGTAAAACTGATGCTTGTCGTTATTGATCAATGGATCACATGCAATACTGTGTTATATACATGTTCCGAGACAAAACAGCAGGGAAGAAATGTTTTCTTATATAAACACAATGTCAAGCATCCAATGTAATTTACTGGCCTTTGCCCCTTTCATAATTTTGAAACAAAAAACTAGTTATAGTTTATCCATTTCAATGAGGCATAATTATCATATTAACATGGGAAAAGGAAGCAATTTTTTTTTAATTTTAAATGAATCATGTATTCAAGCATGAACTTAACAAACCATGCGTAAATAAAACATGAATAATTAAACTGGAAAAAGTGATAATAAACTCAGGTCCACACATGATGCTTGTGGAAATATATCTCATAAAACATTTAAAAGAATAGACTCTAATAGGCGATGTACAACTATACATACAGGTCTATAAATTATATGTTATTTGATGAATGAAGTGTGCATATTTTATCAATCAAAAGCTTAAGTTAGAGGGTCCATGACACCTATACTGATTTGGAGCAATTCTTTGTACAATGTCATAAATACAGAAATTTAAATACATGGAGGTATATAGTGAATGCTAGGGCTGCAAAATTGTATCAATACATGTATATATGTATTTTCATATATTTAAAATATAACACATCATGCTATTGTGTCATAATTTTGCTACAGTAGTGTTTCCCCGTACACATCTAATATAACAGGTATTTTCTTATCTGTGATCATTTGAATGTGTTTCAAATTTTTAATCTTTATTAACTTATATATGATCACTGTAACTCTGGCAAACCTTAAAGATGAACTAATTCATAGATAAATTAAAATGATAAACACATTTATTTAACATCATCACCCATTGTACATGTGCCGAGTGCTCCTCAGAATATGGAATACCAGGAAGCCACTGGCCAGTATCATGACACTAAGCCTTTCCTTTCTTCTTCAGAAGTCATCTCAGCAATTTTGCAAATTTGACCCTGTGACCTTGAATATGAGTCAAGATGTCTCAAAATTTTGCTCAAAATAAGTCAAGGAGTAATTATTCATATAAGGGATATTTAAAAATTACATAATGTATCATGTCTGCACTGTCCATTGAACAACTGAGATTGAATTCATTAATGTCTTTTATGAACATGTGGGAAATGCTTTAACTGAATTTTGAAACTGACTGCTGTTGCATTTCCAATGAGCATGACACTGAAATACAGATATGCTATTTATAGTATAAAAAATAAACAAGTTTCACATGTGTGCACATGTTTGATCTTATATCATTTACATGTTTAACCACATATGTGACTCTAAGTGACAGCTGTTGTGCAATTCCATGCTTTTAACATGTATTAAACGATTATGTTCATATATTAATATGTACATGTGTTATCCAGCTGTAGTCGGAATTATTCTGACGTTTTATCGACTTTTTTTATATCGGTCTGTCTTCGATTAATATTAGAACTCCGGCCCTCTATAACTTGCGGCTAATAAGCGACCCAGGCGATATTTTAGAAACAAATTGTTACTTTCACACACATGTCGCACATGGAACGAAAGATCTATTCTTTATGCACAAGATGAACATAAATTACATGCCTCAAACAACAAATACAATTACTAAAAACATATTTTTTCAAACTTACTCCGTTTTACTTTACGCCTTCTAATGCCATGTGACTAAAATCTCGACGGCCTACGTCATAACGTTGGGAAATACCTTCGGTAACGCAAGATCTCGCCAAGTCATGTGACATTGGTCATGCCCTAATTTCCATTAAAAACATGGGTTGGTATAGAAAATGTTGGAAAATACTGTTCGTAATGATCTTTGAAACATGTTATTGATACCACCTAGTGCATAAAGAATAGATCTTTCGATCCATGTGCGACATGTGTGTGAAAGTGACGATTTGTTTCTAAAATATCAGTTTGAAGAGCGACCCAGGCGCGGGTCGCTTATTTCCCACATATTATAGAGGGCCGGAGTTCTGACGTTAATCGATGACAGACCGATATAAAAAAAGGTCAATAAAACATCAGAATAATTCAGACTACCAGCTGTGATGCTATTCATGTCACTGTCTTTAAAGAAAAGGCAACTTCATATGAAAGCTGCCATTTTTGGAAGACAAGTTATTTTATAGCTTATATATATGTACAAATCTCTGTATATACCAACAATAAATATGATATCTCAGAATATACCACCAATATCTGATATTTCTAACATATGTACATTAGAATTACAGCACATTGATAGCACTCTCTAGGGGACCTAAAACAGCTGCCAGTTCAATTTGCTGTTCATTATCACAAGACAATTGCAAACCCTTGGAGGCAAATGTTCACGTACACAAAAACCAATAAATCAACATTGAAATAAGTATGCAACTTTGGAGTTGTATCAAGCTGCTTAATTATATAGCTATTGACAACACATTAAGGTCTAATTTGAATCGCTGGTACTTTCATAAATTTCAATTTAATCCATAAATTAAATATGCATATTCTGGGATTCAAAACAATTTCTTAAGATAATGTACATACATTCCTCCAGATTTTAGTCATACATATGTATCAGGTTTTTTTTCAAACGATATAGTTTGCATACAAAAGCATCCAGATTGTGTGTGTGTTTTCAAACTGAAATTCAGACAAAAAAAAAAAAGGATTTCCATCTTAATATTTAAGTTTTGTTGTGCTGCTAGACCCTCTACAATTCTAGGAACTAATTTGACAACAATATGATGTGTATGGCGTACTCACTATAGCACAAGTCTCCATATAAATCGGAAGCACTGCGGCACACGACTAGTAGAGCTGCCATATAACCACCGTAAGAATAAATCAATACGGGTTTCCAGTCTTCATTTTGAGTAATATTTCTAGTTTCTTCAATGTGTGCACATCCTCTTGTCCATGCACATGATTATGAAATAATTATACACTGTATATGTGCGAATAAACAGACTACATGTACACTACATGTGTTGCTGCTGTAAAATTATTGATTGAGAAAATCAAACGATGAAAACAAACCTACCGTTTGATATAGTGAGACTTATTGCACTGGGAAAATTAGCTGATGTCGAAGGGATTACGGTCACAGGACTGGCCGTCATTAATGGAATGGAAGGGGTTGTCATGGTAACCACCGGAAGTTGGGCAAGGGGTTTACTCGTTTCCAAGCCATCTGTCTTTGCTTTTTTCGCTGGCGGTGGACTTTGCTCATTTGGGGGCTGTGGTGTAGACATTTTTTTCACCTGAGGGTCAGAAAAAAAACACAAAATTAATTGATACAAGTATTTGTCTGCTTATGATAATCAGATGAATAATAAAATTCATTTACACAATATATACACATACATAAGTTGGTTTTCAATTAATCTACATGCACAATGTTAGTTAATTATGCTTAATCAACTGTTTGTATTTTTATTACTAAATATCATTACATGAGTTTCTTTCCTTTAAACAATATCAGTGCCTTCATAATTAAATGATGTCATTATTTTACATCCACAACTACTAAATATTTCATCTTTCATGAANGTCAATAAAACATCAGAATAATTCAGACTACCAGCTGTGATGCTATTCATGTCACTGTCTTTAAAGAAAAGGCAACTTCATATGAAAGCTGCCATTTTTGGAAGACAAGTTATTTTATAGCTTATATATATGTACAAATCTCTGTATATACCAACAATAAATATGATATCTCAGAATATACCACCAATATCTGATATTTCTAACATATGTACATTAGAATTACAGCACATTGATAGCACTCTCTAGGGGACCTAAAACAGCTGCCAGTTCAATTTGCTGTTCATTATCACAAGACAATTGCAAACCCTTGGAGGCAAATGTTCACGTACACAAAAACCAATAAATCAACATTGAAATAAGTATGCAACTTTGGAGTTGTATCAAGCTGCTTAATTATATAGCTATTGACAACACATTAAGGTCTAATTTGAATCGCTGGTACTTTCATAAATTTCAATTTAATCCATAAATTAAATATGCATATTCTGGGATTCAAAACAATTTCTTAAGATAATGTACATACATTCCTCCAGATTTTAGTCATACATATGTATCAGGTTTTTTTTCAAACGATATAGTTTGCATACAAAAGCATCCAGATTGTGTGTGTGTTTTCAAACTGAAATTCAGACAAAAAAAAAAAAGGATTTCCATCTTAATATTTAAGTTTTGTTGTGCTGCTAGACCCTCTACAATTCTAGGAACTAATTTGACAACAATATGATGTGTATGGCGTACTCACTATAGCACAAGTCTCCATATAAATCGGAAGCACTGCGGCACACGACTAGTAGAGCTGCCATATAACCACCGTAAGAATAAATCAATACGGGTTTCCAGTCTTCATTTTGAGTAATATTTCTAGTTTCTTCAATGTGTGCACATCCTCTTGTCCATGCACATGATTATGAAATAATTATACACTGTATATGTGCGAATAAACAGACTACATGTACACTACATGTGTTGCTGCTGTAAAATTATTGATTGAGAAAATCAAACGATGAAAACAAACCTACCGTTTGATATAGTGAGACTTATTGCACTGGGAAAATTAGCTGATGTCGAAGGGATTACGGTCACAGGACTGGCCGTCATTAATGGAATGGAAGGGGTTGTCATGGTAACCACCGGAAGTTGGGCAAGGGGTTTACTCGTTTCCAAGCCATCTGTCTTTGCTTTTTTCGCTGGCGGTGGACTTTGCTCATTTGGGGGCTGTGGTGTAGACATTTTTTTCACCTGAGGGTCAGAAAAAAAACACAAAATTAATTGATACAAGTATTTGTCTGCTTATGATAATCAGATGAATAATAAAATTCATTTACACAATATATACACATACATAAGTTGGTTTTCAATTAATCTACATGCACAATGTTAGTTAATTATGCTTAATCAACTGTTTGTATTTTTATTACTAAATATCATTACATGAGTTTCTTTCCTTTAAACAATATCAGTGCCTTCATAATTAAATGATGTCATTATTTTACATCCACAACTACTAAATATTTCATCTTTCATGAACAAGTATTTTTTTTAAAAATTTAACCATGGTTTAGCAGGTTCAAAAACAAACAAATTCAGGAATAATTGTTATAGATAATTACATGAACAATATAAAGTTGGCAAGTTTTTCATGTTGTTTGGAAGAGTGAGAATTTTTAGATGATGTTTTTTTAAGAAAACATGACTGTACATTTCTGACAATGCCCAAATTGTAAGTCTTCACTAGTACTGGTTAGAATTAGGCAAATACCCCGCCTCCAAATATAATTGTTGGAATAGTTCATTTAAAAAAATTAAATAAGAAAGGGGCACAACTCCATTCTTTTCTTGATCTCCAACATACAGGGATGTCTATGTATGAAGTATCTATCAATAATGAAATTGTTGCAGTACTTTGGAAGGGCCAAAATAGTTTCCCACATCAGCTGCCTTGAAAGAATCTAATTATATAACTGCTTTATTCACATTCCCTCAATAGAAGCATTACATTTATTGTGTACCAATGCAAGAAGCATTCAAGCTGATGCGGTTCTGTTGGAGGACCAGAATAGCTCAATGTTTTACAACAAGGGCATTACTGCATTTGGAAGGCAACTCCAATGTACATATACTTCATTCACATCCCCTTTATGTAAGGGTTCTGTGTACCAAGCATCGTTGAAATCGGTGCAGTACTTTGGGAGGGCTTCCAACATTACAATCACCCCTTACAAACATGCAGTGGGCATGGGTAGCATTCAAATCTGTGCAGTACTTTTGGAGGAGTACGAACAATGCGTCTACTGTCTCAACAAGGCCTTGTATAAATTAAAATGGGAAGGAAATTCCAATATATTTGGAAGTATTTTGGAAGGAGTAAGGCAAAGGGTACATCTATAGACAGCTGTAACTAATCATTATATTATGTTTGTACGTTGCAGGTAGCAGACATCCTTTAGATTAAAGAATTCAATATAAGGAAGGTGTTAATTCTCATTTATGACTGCTACCTCGTGGGTTCAAATACTCATAAAAACGTTTTAAATTGTCCAAGATTGACCAAAGCAGTTCATGTCATTGTCAGTTCCACTGAAACAAACGAATAAATCTCCATTCTCGAAAACAAAATCTTATTTTGTCCTGTCATCCATTTTGATTTGCAGCCAAGCTGTTAATTCTCATTTAAGATGAACAGACAGACGGACAAAAAACCCAAATCCAGTATACAGGGGGTGTACATTGTAATAAAATTTCAGATTCAGTACTTGGAATGTATTAGATACATTTGACATTATATTCTGGATGAAAGTGATCGATATAAAAAGGGACGGAGAAATTCTATCCAAATTTGACAACCTACAAAAGGGCACAATATCACATAATAGGAAAGTATATTGAATATTATGCCAAGTTTGAGAGAAACATCTTAATTACTTTATATTAAAGATATACACTACTTGACACAATATTCTGGACTTGAAGTTAAACAAAAAGTAGCATAACTTTACAACATTTTGGTCCAAATTTAAGAGTCAAAGGGTACAACATCAAATCATAGAGAATTATAAGTTTGAGAGAAATCACTTCAGCAGGTTTTTTAGATATGCTTGACATACAGGGCAATTCATATATACTCTCTCACCAAAAGAAAACTTCATAGTGGGGAGTGGAGTATATATATAAAACAAGCTCTAGGTTGGACGATGCTTCAAAACATTAATAGTTCTATCTGGGGTAAATATCAATCCCATCATTGGCCAGGCCTTGGATGAATAAAGGCAAGTTTTTTTCAGGTCACATATTTGGCATAATGTTTGATAATTTATGAACCTCAGTCATAAACATCTCAAAAGTACACTTCATGTATTATATTGATATTTGAAAGTAAGTAAATCTGTTAACATTTGTGCATGTAGTCTATAGATATATGAATATTACATACCTTGTACATTGCAAGGGTGTACTTTTCCATCAGATAAATGCCTGGTGCTAGCAGATTTTATATCAGGGCTAGTAAAAATGGTCAATATTTTGAAGTATAGGTCAAGCAAGTAGAATGTTTAAATCTGCCTGAGGGCTAGTACTAATTGTACATGACTTTATATAGGTGTATAAGCTTCAGTCTCATGTTCACGTAAAGATCGATGTTCTACAACCAGTCACTTTTCATTTTCATATCTATTTATATAAATACCTTTTTTTTTTCTAATTCTAAAATTAGCTAAAGCTTTGTGCTATATAAGTTTAACGTCACAAAGTGTAATGTAGGGCAAGTTTAGGAAAGACCCAGTGTTTGTGTCTCATAATTGTTGTAAAATAAATAAAGTTTATATTATGTGATTTGCAGTGAACAAAGGGTTGTAACTCTGTACATACACGAAGTAGTATAGGTGGGCAATCTTATCGTCTGTACTTGTTCAATTACTGCATCATGAAAATGGAAAACAAGATAACGGGTATATAATGGTATGATTATTAGATACCATTTTCATTTGTACTTGTGAAAATATGATTATAATATAAGAATATTCCTTTTTAAAATTAAGAAAACTGCTTAAAATAAAATACACTGCATAATAATTGTCAAACTTTTCCTAAAACTTCACCATATTTTAAAATTTTATGGCAGTAGTTATTTTAAGTCCTCTTCAATCTATTACTTTTGATGTTTCGTGCTATAGATCGTGATGTTTCCTCATCAGGAAATCTTGGGACTAGTTACTTTGACGAAGACCTAGTAAATAATCTTTTCAACTAGTCCTGTGGACTACCAAGCAACAAAAGTTGAGTCTCTAACCCTGTTTATGACAAAATAATGATCTTGTCCTTCCTACTCTTGCTGTATTCTGAGAACTTGGTCAACTGTTAGGACTTAATCTATATTTATGCAGTTATTTTTTGGGGTTTCCCAATCGGGAATTTTAAAGGGGAAAATTGAGAAAAGTTATACGCTTTTTCAGTAATGGGAATGGGTCTTTTAAACCCAAAAAGTACTCTTTCATTACCCCGAGCCTAAATTTCACCCAAAATATATTTAAGTAGGGAAAACACTGTATAATGAGCTACCAGGTCAGTGGTTAGCACCTTGAGTAGGGGTACTGGAAACACCAAAATATATTTTGTTTGGCCTAATTCTTTTAGATATATTTCAAGATAGCCACTACACTATGATTATTAAATGTTACCCTAGAGGGGGTTAAGGGGAGAAGAAATTATATTGATCCTTCAAGGGATCATGGCTAGGGGACAACTGGTTTCATGATAAGCAAAAATATCTGATCTAATATATATAATTCAAAAAGAGTATCTGTTTGACCCTCCAAATTGAGCTTTGACACTTGAGTTTGAAAGGACTATATGACATGTGTTTTGGCCGATAAAAATTCAGAGAAAATCATTGATGCCTCCCTTTAGTTTTTTGTTTCCAGCAATCAGATGGCCCGAGATAAGTTTAAAATAGGGTCTATTTCTGGGGTCACGTTTCATTTATTCTTCCTTGACTTGTTTATACAGGACAACTGTATCTAATTATTGAAAAATGTTGGTCAAGATAAATAACTGTTAGTCACTTGATTTTTTTTTTTTAAATAAATGAAAATGTGTGATTAAATTGTAATTAGTTTTCATACTCATCATCATCATCATCATCATCATATGTTTATTTCCTCAAAGCTGAGATACATTTACATTTGCAAATTGTTTAACTTTCTTTCGGAAAAAAAATCTGTTAATACCAATTACTTCTGTGACAAAATTTAGGACATAAATAAGTCAACATTTGATGTAATTTGACATTCATTTTCCTTTGGAAAAATAATTAAAAACGAATATCAGATTTTTATAGATATATATATACTCGATAAAGACATAATGGCATTAATTCTAGTTATTATAACCGATTTATATTTTTCTTTTCCCCTCTTACACAGAGATATTCGATACTATGGACATTACAATTGAATATTAGATTTCTTCAGATTATAAACTTCTTCTGTCACCAGTAAAGTAAAAATATATATTTTGAACTTCATGATTTTTTTTAATAATGAAAAAGTATTCAACCTACAATGATTCCAGATTAAAAAAAAATGGCTTTCACAAAATTTATAATAGCAAATATTTAGAGTAAAAATGCAAAATATAGTTCGTCATCATAAAATTGGTATTATAATTAATGTTTTTAATACTGGAAATTGATAATTTAAAGATTTTTTGGGAAATCCATATTTCTCTAGCAATATTGGAATTATTTTCATGATAATAATCGTCAAAATTCAATTTTGATTAGTTCCGACACAGGTCTAGATATGACATGTTCATACAAATAGACCATACCTGTCCTACGCGGCAGAAAATAGTTTCACGGCAAGTCACATGAATGCGTATCCTGTTCGGAGAAGCATGATAGGCTAAACAGCCATTGAAACAAACCGAAAACAAATTAAATAAATACAACTAAAATAAAAGAGCCTGTTCTTATGTTAGATGGTACGTTTTTATTATTAACGACATTAGTTCCTGATATTGCCATAAGCAAATATCATTTAAATTTGCATGTAAACATTGAACAAGGAACCCGAAAAACTGTGACCTTTTACATTAGAAATGGCGGTCCGACAAGAGAAAGAGTGCCAACAAACCTATTTCAACCGACGCTACGACTTCATAAATCCAACTTGTTGCATAATTAAAAGCTTAAATAATGCATCTGGAATCCATCGTTTTCTTCCTTTAATTGCACATATTTTTTCCTGTTCTTTTATGTTTTTATTCCCCGAAAACGAGAACGCGTGAGTGCGGCCTCGTTTTGGCGAGTAAATTATGAAGGTTCAAGAAATAGAAATAAACCAAAAAGTACTTAAAAAGTTCATTTAAAAATACGTAATAAAATTACCACCAACACTCAAATACGCCAATTTACTTGGTTTCCACACATCAATAGACAGATTATTTGTTTCTTGTTCGTTGAAGGAATAAACTGCGTTTTTGAGCAACACAATGTTACTATTTTTGCCGAGGAAACGCAAGCAAAAACGAAAACTTGGTCAATATACACATTTGACATAGAAAAACAGATTGAAATCAAAAACAGACATATTAAACGAGGGTCGAGAAGTGTAAAACAATTTGATTTCGTGTGGTTGCTATTCACTTTTTGTCCGAATATGTCAAATTGATATTGAAAACCTCAAAAATATTCAACTTACCTATCTTTTCAATAGCTCATCGCCATTACACATATTTTGTGGTGGGAGGTTAATGGCACAGCTTTTCAACATTGTCGGCTGTTCCGTCACCGTTCGGAAGTACTTTCGATTTATCTTGATAACAATGTTATTTATCGCTCAGATATTTGAAGTGTCGTTTTATTTAATAATTCTTCAAATCAATCTTATTTAATTTCACACGAATTACCGAGAAATAATAATATAATATTTGTATACCTTTGCAACAATTTGTAAGTTTTCTTATGCTATATTTTTTTTATCACGTTCATAATGCGTGTGCGTGAAGACTGACGTCATACACTGTTGTTGTTTTGGTTTTTCACTGACAAAATTTTCTGAAGTCTCTCTTGAATTCTTCGCTTTCAAATATATCTGGTAAGATTCTAGGCTGTAACATAACTCTGCATTAGTCTATTTCTTTACAAACTGACGAAAGCTCCGTAAGTATGACAGTGTCAAGAAAGCTGAAGCAAAAAGCGGAGTGCATGTCAAGTGGCAATGAGATCTGGAGCCCGTGCCTTGATTGTCAAAACATCAGCTGATAGTCTCTTTTTGTTTGCATCCCTGAAACCTACTACACTTGAATATTGAATGGTGCAATTTTATACTGAATACATAATGATTGATGTTGTAGATTGCGATTTCATCCTCGGCGAAATTAAAAAGTAAGAAATAGACAGAATGGAACACATGATCACGTGACCATTTGTTTATATTTTCATTATATTGGATTATGAAGGACATGGGATTTCAACCTTTTTTTTCTGAAGTGTTTCCGTCTCAACATATTTGGAAAGAGAACCTTTACTGTTTTATTTAAACATTATTCGTTCCTGTATTTGCCATTATTGTCAAATCGAATCAATGCCAGCAATATGCATACATACATATTGTTAGACCGCTCTACTGTAAAAAGTATTGTTAACCATAATACAGAAAATGTTTTATGCATGGCTTAAAACACTGAACAGATGCAGGCTGATGATTACTACAAAGGCCTACATAAAGAGTTAATCTTGCCATTTTACTTTAAGCAACTTCTTCTCTGGAACTAATTGATGGTTATTAACCATATTTTATTGGAAGCATTCTCAGGTAGGTGGTGTCCGGATTCAAAATTGTACAAATGGAGGGCCCTCCCCCCCGCCCCCGGGAAGCTCAGGAGTTGGCCAAAATAGGGGATTTGGCCATATTGGCTTCAAAAAACTTCTTCTCTCGAACTAAGAGATGGATATATCAACGTACCTTATTCATTTGGCCATAGTGTTTCAAGCAACTTCTTCTTTGAAATTAATGGATATTAACTATTTGGTTGGGATCATTCTTAGGTGGTGGGGATTCAAATTGTATAAACGGAAGGGCTGTCCCCCCTGGGAAGCTGAGGGGTGGGTTAAAAAAGGGGATTTGGCCATATTTCTTTAAGTTACTTCTTCTCTGGAACTAAGCAATGGATATCAACCATATTTGGTTGGAAGCATTCATAGGTATTGGGGATTCAAAGGTATAAAAATGGAGGGGCAAACCCATGGGGGGGGGGGCTGACCGGCAGGTTGAAAAGGGTTAATTTGGCCATATTGTTTCAAGCAACTTCTTCTTTGGAATTAATGGATGTCAACTATTTGGTGGGGGCATTCTTAGGCGGTGGGGATTCAAATTGTACAAATGGATAGGGTGTCCCTCCTGGGAAGCTGAGGGGTTGGCCTATGGGGGGATTTGGCCATATTGATATAAGCAACTTCTTCTCTAGAACTAATGGATGGATATCAACCATATTTGGTTGAAAGCATTCTTAGATGTTGGGGATTCAAAAATGCTCCAGTTTAAGAGCTGTCCTGCTTGGTCTGATGGGCACAGGTGGGGCCAAAATATTTTTTTAACTTGGGACATTTAAATAAGATCCCCACTCTGTAACATGTACATTTTTATTCAATTGCTGGGTATATATAGAGATGAACACGCATATGCTTTCAGGATGACTCCTGGCTCTGGCCCCACCCTGGAGACTTAGTTCCTGGGCATTACTTTGAAACAGCAGAGATTCACATCTTAAAACCATAAATAAAAATTGCTGGGCAGAAGGAGATAAATAATATCATGATATTAGAATGACTCTGGAGTCTAATTCCAGGCCTAGGAATTGAATTCCAGGGTCACAACTTTGAATTGGTTGAGATCCGCACCCCATAACAATATATATATATACCTTTGCTGGGCAAACACAGTTATGATGTAGAATTGATCCTGGGGTAAGTTCTAACCCTTAAGGACTTGATTTCTGGGTGACATTTGTATTATTTGACTTCGTAGAATTGATAATCATTGAGTACATGTGTTATTACCATGGTAAATTTTGACCATTAACTATTCTGTTGCAGAAGTGTGGTTCCGAGACCTCTACATTTCACGGCAGTGATGGGCGGGGCCGTGAGTACCGGGGAGGACAACGACGAGTTAGTGGATAACCTGGTGGGGGCAGATTATATAAAGACTCCTATGGTAGAGAAGGTTTTCCGGGCAGTGGACCGGGCCAGCTACTACCTGCCAGATCAGCGTGGCAACGCTTACAAAGATCTGGCATGGAAACATGGACACTTCCACCTATCTGCTCCATGCATCTACTCTGAGGTGATGGAGTCCCTTCAACTGGAGCCAGGGAAATCCTTCCTTAATCTGGGTAGTGGTACAGGCTACCTCAACACCATGGTGGGACTTATACTTGGTACGTACCTAAGTATGATTGTGCTGTGATCATGGGACTTGTACTTGGTAATTATTCTTCAGCATTATGGATGGTTATAGGACCTTGCATTGTGCTGTGACCGACCATAGGACTTACATGCATACTCAGCTAAAAACCTAGAAATAATGCTTAGCATGGCCATGATTCTGTGGCCATTAGACTTCAATTCAGTATTTTCTCAGCATTTATAATGTTGTATTGATTTTGGGATTTACACTCTATGAGTATCTTGACCTTAAGGTGTTGTGGCCTTTGACCATGGGACTTGTACTGAGTAGGCGAAGGTATGCTGGGTTGACAGGGCATTAGTACTGGTCCACTGTTGGTACTGTCTGAACACCAGACTGGCACCTGTACTGGTTAGATTACCATTGTCTGTATGTAGCTGTGTTTTGGTCAGTGATGTCGAGTAACATCAGGTGCTTAAATTATTTACCTTGATAAGTACAGTATGTTTCACAGCATTTTGTGACTTTAGCTAGGGCTGTCACAATATATTTGGGGGAAAAGTATATCACAATACACAGAAAAATCATATCACTGCATAAAAATGAAGTGTAACTGGTGAGAAAAGTTGAAATTTCAAAATTAATGGTTGGTTTAATGGAAACTTCTTCAATCTGCATGATCGATCACAGGTACTAGCCTCTTCTGTCAACACACCTATAATATTATATTACAGGTGTATTAACAGACAAGGCTAGTACCTGTAGATTGATGTGACATTATATTCAGTGCAGTAAATGCATATATACGATTCACAAATTTTTGTAACCTTGACATTTGACCTGGAACAGTGTGACCTTGCTTAGTTCTTAAGTGTGGTAGTGGGGCATTCCTGTCTTACACATTTCTGTATTTTTTTCACAAATCCTTTGTTCTTTTCCTTTTATATATAACCAAACTCCTTTATAAAGGGAACACTCTACAAATGGTGGCAGTGTAACATGTTTACCTATATGATTCCAGATGACAAAATTCTACCAGTATTTTTAGAATTAACGCATTGAAGTACAGTATAACATCTTATACCATTATATACATTTTGATATGTTACTTTCTAGCATTGTGTAATCGTCATACCTTGCTTGCTTGAAGGGCCGTACGGAATCAACCATGGGGTAGAATTCCACGCTGATGTGGTAGAGTATGCCCAGAAAAAACTGGAAGAGTTTAAACAAGTGTGCAAGTCATTTGATGACTTCGAGTTCTGCGAGCCATGGTTTGTCCTGGGCAACTGTCTCCAGATCCCATCCAGCTGTCGCCTGTATGACCGGGTATATTGCGGAGCTTCATGTCCACCTGAACACGAGAACTATATGAAGAATCTACTGGCTGTTGGGGGGATATTGGTGATGCCACTCAATGACCAGGTACTTCATTTGACTATGATCTTTAAGATAAAAGAGAGAGAAAAAGATGAATTTTTGCTTGATTTTGTAAGATGTGGTTTACATACAGATATTTCATTGTATGTTTATCCATCTGATGTACTCGGGTACATGTAGAGAATTAAGATAGTTCCCTTAAGAATATCAATTAAAAAATTAGAAATTTTAATAAGGTAAACAAAACAAATTCATATAAAACCATTCAAGCTATGAAATAATAGTTTAAGACTTATATAGAGAAGTGTTTGACATGAAGATATGGTTGTAGCTTTTGCAGATTCGTCGTACAGGGGAGACAGTTTGGGAGTCAAAGGGTGTCATGTCAGTATCCTTTGCGACACTGATCAGTCCTTCTAAGGAGGACACCAATGACACTGTAGAGCTACGTAAGTACATCATCCTTATATGTATTGGTTTAGTGTGTAGAGTTTATGGCTGCTACCTTAAACATCCGAGTTGTGTGCTTGAGTTATCTCCCCTACATTATTACATAGTACAGTGCATAATGGCATACTTTAACAAAACTATTTTGATAGGTCAACAACTTAATGTTGCCAAAATTTCTTTAGTGCTTTATACCGGTATACAACGTATACTTGGGAGCCCTCGTTAAAGTTATCTTTCTTAAATACTTCATTACCAGGACAGTACGTAGTAGGGGTAAATTTAACAGCACTTTTATTGTGTAGGTCCACTTCTAAACTGCCAAAAGAAAATTTCTGTTTAGAGTTAACAGATATTATAATTATGCTACCTGAGACATGTGGGTTGTATGTTAGAGTTATCTTCCATACAAATTCAAGACTGCTATAGTTAATAGGGTATTTAACATTGCACTATTTTGGTATTTTGCAGATTCACATTTGATAGAGTTGACCCCCAAATATTATTACCACCAAAAAGTCTGTTATACAGAGTCTGATTCAAATTATCAGTGGTGTGTCTTGTTTTACGTAACTTATCACTGTCAATAATTAATCAACTACCGCAGATAAAATTATCTCTCAAAACAGATGTACTACTGGCTCATTGACGCCATTGTACTGGGGATGTGTAATTGATTAAAAAATCTTGAAGTGAAAAGCACTTTAAAAAAAAATGCATTAAATGAGAGTGTAAAGAAAGGCTAGTTAAGTAATTAAGTTTTTTTTCCTCTCAGACTTTTAATGTGTCTTTCAGCGGAGGCCAGCATTCCAATTCTACAGAGTATTTGTCGAGACAGCATCAGAAGGATAATACGTACCAATATATACAAAGAGCATCCATCTTTGAACACAGTCCGTAAACGACCTGCCAAAAAACAAAAGGCCAGGCGTCAAAGACGAAAGCGCATCAACATGGTACCGATGAGTATGGGCATGATGATTCTCGGCCAGTTTAATGGGAGCGATGAGAGTGATGATGACAGCATTATTGACCATCAGGGTCAACCATGCCATGATGAGGAGGATATCTCAGACTCAGGGTCAGACAGAGGAGAAGGACAGGAGGGATCAGATGAGGACAGAAGACCAAGAGGGAGGAAAAGCCTCCGAAGAAGGTCAGCTCGACAAGGAATGGAGGAAGATATAGAAGAAGATGAAGAGGAAGAGGAGGGGGAGGATGAGGATTATGAATCTACTCCAAGGAGGAGAGTTACTGCTAGACAAACGTTACACGAACTGGCTACCAGACTCAATGAAGTCAGGACGCAGTTAAGTGTTCAAAGACAAATGGACCAAATGTCAAGGTTACAGCCCAATGAGGAAGAGGAAAATCAAGTTACAAACAATGAAGAAAAAGATGATGATGAAGGAGTGGAGGAAGAAGATATATATGCTTATAATGATGATGATGAAGGCCATGGTGAAGAGGAGAGCGAGGGAAAAGAGGATGAAGTAGTGCAAAATAAAAGTGGTGTGCAAAGTTCCCTTGAAGACTTGGACAAAGAGGATATGGAGCTAGGAATTTTTACAGAAATGTTTCCTCCTCCTATTCCCTGTTCCAGTGGCAGCCCCCCACACAAACAGCGCTACTCCTCGAGTACAAGTGTCGACACCTCCGAGACTTCAGGCATAGGCTCCTTTTCCGAGGCATCAGCTATTGGCTCTCTTGGAGAGGATGCAGTATTGATACAGGCAATGAGTTCCTCCTCCTCACAGGGCAGTAGGGCAGATGGCAGTCCACTGGAATCTTTCATGGATAGTATAACAGAACCCACAGAGTGTATAGACACAGTTCCAAAGGAGTGTATTAAATCTTACATGAAGGAGAAAATAGACACACTGCCTCTCCCCGAGGCCCTGAAGGCCTTTCTCATGTATTACAGGGACTGAAGTATGAATAGAGTGCTCTCCCTTTCTCCCTAGTCCAAGTCAAATAGGTAACACACACTCTTCCGATAACACAAATCAATAGTGATCGTCTTGAGCTGTCACAGACATTGTTATGTCCGACCCGTAAGTATTTTGACATTCTGTCTAATCCAGCACAAATCTCTGACATTGTATCCATTTCCTCTACAAAAGACTGGTGTAATCCTACTTCATGTTTTTGTGCCACAGTTTGTCGATTAGGACAAGTTTCACTGTACAAGTAAACATCCTATACGGCATACAGCCTATTTTACATGCTGTTCATTCGTTTGGAAATATTCAGTGTTGAATTTGCAGCTTTGAGATTAACGTTAGGTTTATGATAGTGCTACTTGACTAGAAATGATCGTTGTTGTGTTCATTCTGTGGTTTCATCGACAGTACTGCAAAATGATGCAGTGAAAGTAATGGTTCCTATATCAGTGTCGCTTGTATAACACATAGTACTATCATGTTGGTCTGTGCCAGGAAAAACAGTGAGGTAGAATGAGGGGAAGGGAGTGTCCTGAACCCTATTGTAAGGACAATAGTTTTCTCTGGCCCCACATCAGACATCTATATATATGTTAAAATGTCTACATGCAGTCTGGTGTCAGGGCCAGATGAAACTCAAGCTATAAGTACCCTGGTAAAAAGTACATTCAAATTCCTATTGTACATTGACCGTGATCAACCTAGAGACTGTTTAGGTGTCTGAAGCTATTCGTGATGGTCGGAGAACATAACGACAAGCCATCCAGGTTTTTGTATTTATAGAAAAATGTTTGGACAGCTACTTGTATTGTGAATAATCTCCCTTTGTAATGTTTTCTACTTCCTGTTAATTTGCATTTGCATTTAATATGTAAATACATGTACTTGTTTGATAATTGCATTGAACAATGCTGTTACACTATGGAGATTGTCGTCCGGAAATTTTAGTACATAGATAATGTGAATCTTCACAAAATATTTTGATTTCAGAAATGGGTCAAGATTCCATGTCTTAACAGGAAAAAATCCTAGGAAAATGTCTTTTGGTTTGAAGGTGTATGCATTTCAACCTGGTCTTTAAGTTTGTCCCTGTCAATGAAATTATTGGGTAAAACAGTTGTCTATATTCTTCCCTTGGATACTAATTCTGAATATTTTTGTTAAGAAACTTCACTGAAAAATGTTTAATAATTAAATGATCTGTTTTTTTAAAGCGTTGGGGCTGTAGTCCAAAGTTCAAGGTTACAGGAGTGGGCCTGGGCCAGAAGTATTAACAGCTCAGTATTTTTTTAAGGAAACTTCATAGATGCAGATCAATAATGAGAGTAGGTACTTGCCGGGTACTAGACAGTGTGTCCCAGGAGGTACTTACCTGGTACTTGACAGTGTGTCCCAGGAGGTACTTACCTGGTACTAGACAGTGTGTCCCAAGAGGTACTTACCTGGTACTAGACAGTGTGTCCCAGGAGCTGCTTACCTGGTACTCGACAGTGTGTCCCAGGAGGTACTTACCTGGTACTTGACAGTGTGTCCCAGGAGGTACTTACCTGGTAATAGACAGTGTGTCCCAGGAGGTACTTACCTGGTAATAGACAGTGTGTCCCAGGAGGTACTTACCTGGTAATAGACAGTGTGTCCCAGGAGGTACTTACCTGGTACTAGACAGTGTGTCCCAGGAGGTACTTACTAGGTACTTAAGAAAGTGTGTCCCAGTAGGTACTTACTAGGTACTAGACAGTGTGTCCCAGGAGGTACTTTCTAAGTACTTAAGACAGTGTGTCCCAGGAGGTACTTTCCAGGTACTAGACAGTGTGTCCCAGGAGGTACTTACTAGGTACTTAAGACAGTGTGTCCCAGGAGGTACTAACTAGGTACTTAAGACAGTGTGTCCCAGGAGGTACTTACCAGGTACTAGACAGTGTGTCCCAGGAGGTACTTACTAGGTACTAGACAGTGGGTTCCAGGAGGTTCTTATGTGGTTACCAGGTACTAGACAGAGTGTCCCAGGAGGGAGTTACTAGGTACTAGACAGAGTGTCCCAGGAGGGAGTTACTAGGTACTAGACAGTGTGTCCCAGAGGTACTAACTAGGTACTTAAGACAGTGTGTCCCAGGAGGTACTAACTAGGTACTAGACAGTGGGTCCCAGGAGGTTCTTATGTGATTACCAGGTACTAGACAGTGGGTCCCAGGAGGTACTTACCAGGTACTAGTCAGGTGGTATTTACAGGCTACAAGACACTAGACAGTATGTCCCTGGTGGTACCTACCGGGTACTTGACCGTGTGTCCATGGAGATACCTACCAGGTACTTGACAGTGCGTCCATGGAGATACCTACCGCGTACTTGACAGTGTGTCCCAGGAGGTACCTACCGGGTACTTGACAGTGTGTCCCTGGAGGTACTTACTGGGTACTAGACAGTGTGTCCCAGGTTGTACTTACAGGGTACTAGACAGTGTGGCCAAGGAGGTACTTACTGGGTACTAGACAGGGTGTCCCAGGGTGTACTTACTGGGTACTAGACAGTGTGGCCAAGGAGGTACTTACTGGGTACTAGACAGTGTGTCCCAGGAGGCACTCACCTGGTACTAGACAGTGTATTGCGATGAAACTACACATGGCAAACTGAAGTGGAGTTGGATTATGGAATTCTGTGATTTTGGTAGTCCTATATGCACACATATATTCTTAAGATGTAATTTGACTCCTTCATGATAAGATAGTAACAGAATTACATGATTTTAAAACTGTGATATTTTCCCATTACAATTGTTGAAAAACACATTTTTGTGTATGTAATAATATTTATATACAGCTGTATGTACAAAACTTATTTATAGTGTATAGTTTTGATGTAGCTCATCTAAATGTGCATGTCCTTGGAAAACTTCTATTAACTTGAAAGAGCTGTTATGCAAGCTTGAAGGAAATATATATTTAAAATAACCTGAATTTTAGCTCACCAGGTCCGAAAGGACCATGGTGAGCTTATGCCATACCGCAGCGTCCGTCATCCATCCGTCAACTTTTCCTTTAAAACGCTACTAGTCCTGAACGGCCAAGTAGATTTTGACAAAATTTGGTCTGGAGCATCCTTAGACTCAATTTTTTATAAACGGTGGGTGTGGCCCCCCTGGGGACAGAGGAGTGGGGCCAAATAACGGAAATAGAGCTGGTAAAACCTTTAAAACCCTTCTTCTACCGTAGAGATTAAGGGATTTTATTCTAATCTAGTCTGGAGCATCCTTCAAATTTGGCCAAGGGGACTCAATTTTGTATAAACGGAGGTTGTGGCCTCCCTGAGGGCAGAGGGGCGGGGCCAAATAGGGGAAATAGAGTTAAAACCTTTAAAATCCTTCTTCCGTACGGATTAAGGGATTTTATCCTGATTTAGTCTGGAGCATATACTTGGGGCAAGAGGTGGGGCCCAATAGGGGTAATTTAGTAAATTCTTAAAAATTCTTCTGGGCCTCTTGTTCAGTTAAGGGAATATGCTACCTGAAACATTTCTTGAATTAATAACTGAATTAACAAAGTCAGGATTACCATTAAAATTAACTTCTTTTTCACTGTTTTTTAATGGAATATCTGGATCCCTGTTCCATTGATAAAGGTAGCAAATAACCTTAATACACATGTTGGTTAAATTGGATACCTACTGGTAGGTTTAATTTGTCAGTGAAGAGTTCCACGCCACAGGTAGATTAGAATCAATGGTAGATCATGATCAAACACACTGTTATTGATGGGATATGTATGATACCTGACACATCAGTAAGGATTGCTTGGCCCTCAGTTTCACATAAAGCAAGCTTAAAGTCTCAACTTTGAGAATGTGAAACGTGTCTTAATTTAAAACATTTTATCCTCGCTAATGTTTCATATTTAGATTTTTTCTGAAATTCATTCACTGTGTAAATTCAGCCATGTGATTTCGTTCCATTAGTTAAAGCTGACACTTGAGAAAATATTGAATGTTATATTAGAAATTGGGATTTTGTTAACTAATTACAGAACAATGAAAATTGCTCTGTACACATACGTTTGCATAAACATGGAAGAAATGTTCTTGATCGATTTAGAATGCAGCGTAAACTGGTAAAGCTCAGTTTCATTCTTGCTTTCTTGTTATGGATATCTCAAGTGTCGCATTTGTTTAAAACATTTTATTGAATGTCCTAGGGGAAATATGTATTTCAATGTCGGAGACACCGTTTAAATATAGAACTTTCATTGGAATACATTCCTTTCATTTGCATTTCTTTGTCCAAATTGCATTTCTTTGTCTATTTATATACTTCTAAATCATTTATTAATTTAAAAAAATCATACCTATGCAAATATTACAATGAAATTGTTTTCAAAATGTATTTTAAGATTATAATCTGGTAATAGCTTTGGTTTGGTCTTGCTCTTTTGCAAACTTATATGGATCATTCTGGAAATGTTGTTTATTTTAATTCCTTTCATCCTCAATCTGTGTTGCTTCTCTTCGTTAATTCCCAGACAGGTCCCAATATTGCATGACTTGGCATCAGTTGATTGCATGGATAACGAGTGAATGTCTGAAACAATGTGCATGGTTCGGTCAAATCAAAATTGTATGCTAATGTCACCATGTTATAGCTTTTCATTCAAAGTGTGCAAAAAAAAGAAAAGAAGATTTTACCAATTCTTTTTTAAATAACCAAAGCTTCCTTAAAACACAAATGAAAAAGAAAGTAGGAGGCGGCTATATTTTAAATGCCTTGTTTTGTATGAAGCATATGTAATAGACCAGGATGCCATAAAATTTGCTTCATACATCAAGATAATAATATGAAAGTCTAGGAGTCTGGTGTAACTGGGCGTTAACCTGGGGAGAGCTATTCATTGGATTAGGAAACACATGCATTTAATGTCAATATTTTGGTCCATTGTTGAAGGAAAGCTGAGTATGATCATTAATTTATGGTATGTTAACAGTTTCTCTAAGAAATTTGTTGTATATATTTTTGAACACAACCCAAAAATCATTTCCAAACTTTTGTTAGTAATACATGTGCACAGTAATCAAAACTTGTATTGTTTGCATAAATTAAATTCTATTATATTTTTACTGATGTTAAGCCCACTCTCTTGTTTTAATACAGGCCTAAGTCTCAGGAACATCATTTTGAAAAAAAACAAATGCCTAAGGAAGAATTACTGAAGTTAGTAAAATTTAGCCTTCCCTTAACTATAACAGTGCTTACTTAGTGAAAAATAAAGGAATTTCCTTGAATGTTTATGGAACTTGGAACAAGATTCTAAAATTGAGGGAGTGGTGATCATATATCGAAACAAGTCTTTCTTGCTAATAAGGCCTTCATATACTAGACCTTTGGATTTGTCGAAATATTCAACGAAACCTGTCTAGTCCGACACATCAGAATTCCAATGCACTGTCAAATCCAGTGTACAGCTATACATGTAATCCTAATTCTTATAGACTACCAGGTCATATATACAAGACACCTAACTAATACAACTAATTAATTGGATTTTACATGATGTCAGATTGGACAGGTTTCACTTTAGTTTCAATGTCTGGGAGACACACAACCTACATGCATTTTGTCAACATGTTCATCATTTACCATCTCCATTACCCACCTTTTCACCCACATTTGTTTCATTATTTAGAAGGGAGACCACATTGCTTGCTTGTAAAGTCTAGTTTACAATTTAGGTTAACATTTTGACTGGATTGTCTGTAGGTGGCAAATCTGTTCACCGATACCGTAGTACTTTTTGCCTTACAGTGCTTACATGTATATTATTAAATGTCGGGCCACAATTTTGCAAACATTATATAACGTGGGATTTTCCCATAGGAAAGGATTGCTGGAGTTAAAGAAAAAAAACATGTATTTTCTTCAATGTTAGCAATACTTTCCAGTGGAAATACCTAAGCTGATGGAATATTTGTGAATCCGAGGCCAGTTGTTGTAGATATTTATTTGATAATGTTCTTTATTGTGTACAGGAACTTCTCCAATTATCAATAAGCAGAGAAAAGCAGGACTCATTTCTTTTATAATTTTTCCTACTTTCTCCTTGTTGATTTTTGATCAAGTTTTTTTGAAGATGTGACCCGATTAAAAAGAGCAAAAAACAATTGTTCCATTGAAACTACACGTATTTTACAAGATCCAAGGGGAAGTTGTAATTAATTTACTGTAATCATCGAGACCGTTTGGTGATAGTTAACTAACGTGTTGCACAGTGCGAGACATTAAACTTTTTGCAGTCACAATTTTCTTGTTTTATTTTTCAAGTGTGATATATATAACCTACATGGGGTCAAAATATAGCATGCTTATGAGTTGGTATTCAAAATTGACTTAATGCCAAAAGAAAATACATGATGATGTAATAATATTCAATGGCAATACATTATTACAACAAGAGGCCCATGGGCCTTAACGGTCACCTGCTATATTTATACAGAGAGTTGATTTTTGTTTTTAACATGAACAGAAATATTATTCAAAGTGACAAAAAACAATAAAACCACCTTATTCAAAATCTAGCATGCAGATTTAAGACTGAAAAGTATTTGAAACTAGCACCTCTGATTCTAAACAAGGAAAATGAAGAAATTTTATTTTAGCACACAGACTCCATTGGGCCCCACCCTACAGCCCTTGGGGGTAGGTATGGCTCAAAATTTACAAAGTATCAGACTGTCAACTTAGGGTTATAATTCCAATCAAGTTATCAACATGTAATATTCAAAGTATCATTTGCCATTATAAACCATAACAAATTTTGCCCC